GTTTTATTATCTTGAAATGGAAGTAGAATTTTTTCCTGTGTTTCGAATAAATTATGCATATTTTTTCTCGAAAACCGAGAGAGTGATTTAGATGTTCCACAGGAAAATGTGAAATTACATAATATCTCAATTATACTAGCCTGATGAATTGTATAGTGATATTTCGCAAAAGAATTAACTGGGCACAAAAAAAACACTTTTATAAAAAAAATTTTGGTATTTTCACTATATAATCCATTATCACTTCTCAATATAATCACTATTATAGTTATTAATTACTTATAATTGTAGTCGAAATCTGATCACAGAATATAAAGAACAACAACGCACGCAGATGGACAATAATAATCAAAGACGATTGTAGTATAGTCTTCGTTACTAGAAATGAAAGGGCTCACAATATTGTTAATTATAATTCTTTTTGTAAGAAATGAATTGTCGTTCACGTATCTTAATTGATTTTCTTCTCCCGCAGGATGGTCATGTACAAGAGGCGGCATTATTACGCGCCCGGTCCGTCGACAATGCCGAACAAGAGGAATGTGCTGTCGAGCGGTAGCAATCTGTACCGGAAACGGCTTGCGTATACCGAGCTGAAGGACATGAACAACGATTGATGACCGCTCGTTGTCTAGACCGAATATCGATTTGTTACATAACTAGTGAGAGCAAAGGAAGAAGAAGAAGAAAACGAAAATCGGCCGGCAGGAAGCACTGGGAGTGAAATCGGAATGTCGGATGAAGAGACGTTCCGAAACGCCAGTGCAGAAGGATATACACTCGCAGAAGGAGAGGAAGAGTGGGATATTAAAGCGGAATGTTAAACGAAGATGGAAGAGCGTGTCTAGTGAAAGAATGCAGATGCGCTCGAGGATGGAACGGCGTGACACCGCTTCGGCAAGGTCTTCCAGCTTGCAAAACCGAATGGCAGGATTGACGATTGCGCAGGATCCTGGAGGCATGACCTGAAAGTTGCTTGATTCTGATTCCGTTTGGCTTAATGCGGAATCGACATAAAGAAGAAGCAGGAGTAGATTTATATGTAATGTAAAAATTAGGATAAAGAGAATATGTGTTTGTAGAGAGAGTGTGTGTGTGAGTGTAGGCACGTGAAACGGTCTACTAGCGATAGCTGGATTTAGTTTTAATGTAGTGGTATATCAGACGAAAGTATGCAATGGAGTTTCGTAAATTTTTATCGTTATTTATTGAATTCATCGAGAGGGAAGATACAATTCGTGTAGATGCTCCACAGTGCCCCTTAGAGCAGGATTTGTTTGAAGAAAGAGAAGACTTACTAGGTTCGATATTACATTTGATACGCTGTTCTCCGGGCTAATTTTAAGATTATCTTTAAGGATAATTTTCACGAGTGTGAAAACCGACCATTGAAGCGTAAAGCTGAACCCTACCGTGCCATCCAAAAGAGTAACTGCATGCACGAAAATCAAATTCTGCACAATGTTACGTATACCCGAGTAATTTTTTCCACGGCGTGAGAAAATGCGTGCGTTTTTACGAGTATCAACGCTATAATGATTCACGAGAAGCGATTTTATAACGAGGTATTTTATAACGACGGATTGATCGATAGAAAAAGAAAACAGTGGCAAGAAACGAAGACTGCTATTTGCGGATACGGATATAATTAATGCGTGCGTGTAAATCCAAGAGAATAATGCGTGTGCATGCGGTTTATAGAGTGCCACATGTCATGTATGGCAAAAAAAATCACAAAGTTAAATATAAATGAGTATGTATATGTGCGCATATATATATATATATATATATATATATATAATTATATACATATGATATTAATTATATATATTGTATGTATAATATGTATAATTATATATATAATTTAGATAGATGTAGATAATGGATAATTGACGACACTGCAGATAAATTATTGAGGATGTTGTATTTTTGCTGATATTTTTATACGTGAGCGAGCACGTTTATCTCGCATTAGTACGCGATCGATCCACGAGCTATCCGTTATGTTGAAAATCGATGCGCCGTTGTACGACAATTTATCGGTACCTTTAGTCGTCCGCGATTAGAGGGACTTTGCGATGTATAAGAGATTGAAAGTTCCTTTGCCAATCTTATGACAGAGCTTTCACGCGCTCAATTAGTTTTTATTCGCTAGCTCTAGCAACTCCATGATTTCTTGGTATTTATATTTCGTTTAGCGTAAAAATTAAGGCTGCTACGTAGAATTATTCTAGGGCTGTCGAAAGAGCTACGAGTGTACATTTTGTTGCGTCCGTGTGTGTGTAACTTTGCTCTCTTGTTACGTATTACTAAGCGAACGCGATGACTCAAAACGATAATTTTCGCACGACGGTAGGGCGTTTCTCGATGACGTGGCGAATATCGGTATTCGAATGTACAGACGGACTTAGATGATATATATATATAAAAATCTTATTTCTGGCCAGTGTGTGATACGAAAGTACCTAGTGTTTTTCTTTTGCGACGCATTCGAGAAACTCTCTAACGGACTTGTACGGAATTTTACGGGACTTGTCAATTGTTCCACAAATCATGATTTCAGTTAATTGTAAATAGTTATTCATACACAGTTGCATAGCGATGAGAACACGTGGGAGAATATCTGACTAGTGTCATGTAGAAGTCATGAGAAAAATTTGACCTATTGAGAAAATATCTCTTTCCTACTTCTTTTATGTATTCTTTTTATGCAAGATATCTAGAACTTATATGTAAATAAAGACAAAGTCCGTTAGATCCTTCAGATTGTTAAATTGCCGTACACGACGCATTTAACGGAGCGCTCAGGGCAAAAAACGGGATAACTAAACGAAGATGCAGTCGATTTTAATTGTCATTAATAGAGCGATTTTTCGAAAAAAAAAAATATATATATATCGTCGATTTCGTTATATTATAAATAGAGCGTTTGGCGCCGTGTTTGCTATGATCCTTGCTCTTGTTGCCGTCTGCTTATTTTTAGACTATCGCGGCCGCAATACGTACATAGATCACGCAGCGCATAGTGCCAAGAGATCGGCGAATTTGTCGTAGGATGAATAATATTACGTAATTAATCGTCGAAAATATTCTAAATCGTTCAGCAAAATCTAGATTTTAATTTAGTATTATTAGTATACATTTCTCTGTGGATAATGCATTCGAATGTATCGATATCTCCAGTGTCTCGAGTGGATCTTCGTTTAAATAACAATGATAGTAAAGAGAAAAAAGATAATTAGAGATATCTATATCGCTGAACATTAGCGTGTATCGTTTTTGGCCATAAGTACGCTCTGTAAATAGTTCCTTTCTATCTGTCTTTTTTCAGATATATAATTAGGACTCTTAGCATTCTAATTGCGCAGTCTTTTGCATCAAATTGTTTTACAACTCGATTTTAATCCACATTTCGCATTTGTACATAATTATACAGTATATTAAAAGAATATTAAAGAATATTAAAAGAACTCTCTCAATATTAAAAGGACTCTGATATGAGATGTCATCGAATTGCAATCGTGTGAAAAATTTATTGTGTCGCAATATATTTGCGTCATCGGAAGCAAAGTTATTTGATGCAACGGAATGCATTAAATATTTTGAATTGCCAATTTGTGATTATGACGAATTTATCTCTTCTCTCCCGCGCGGGGAGAGAGAGAGCGACTGTCTCGGAATTTTGGCTAACGGCCTCGTCAAGGCAAGAATGTTTGAGGAACTAAATTCGACGATACTTCATCCGCTATTATCCTTCCTACGGTCGTTCGCACGGAAGCTGAAACCCGATGCCATACCGACGCGGTTGCATGTAATAAAGTTTTACACGGATACCGATTAGATGTAAGCGGGGAAATCGATTTGTTAAACTTTGTACGGTGGTAATTTTGTGAATCGCGCGTCTCCGGCGTTCGTTGTAACGAGGATCGAATTGCAAATAAACAATATACCTCGTATTAGAGATATACTACCTCAAAGAAAGCGTTCCTATCCATTTCAATGTGCATAGGTACGTGTACGTGTGGCGAAATTCGCATCACGAACAAAAAATTGCAAATTGGCAAATTTGATTCTCTTCCAATCGTGATGGATAAAATCGGGGGCCTGTCGAGAGTCTTCTTCATCTAGATTTATTTTTATTTGTATACGACAGCACATTAAGCAATACAAATGTTCTTTAATTAGCGGATAATCATTGATGATAGCAGTATTAGCAGAGAACGTACGAAAGAGTGAGTTAAGTTTCTACTGAAGACATTATATGGTATAAATGGCTTTCCAGAGAATTATCACGGAACATCGATCTCTCGCAATATAAAAATAATTAAATTTTGCAAATACGAAAAATTTTTACCAATCCAAATAGCACAAGTCGTCTTCAAGTCATCTTCGATATATCCAGGACGTCTGTGCTATCTGAGAAAAAAGTAATTCTTCATCCTTTTTGATTCTTCGCAATCAAGTAATTTCGCTCGCTCTTTATAAAAATAGATTATTGATTTAGATTTAAATTGAATTAAAGATTTAATTATCACACGTTATGAAGAAAATGCGAATTTCAGCCACGCGTTGAATATGAGCGGTCAACAAATCTTGTAATTAAGGAGAATTATAGAATAGATGTATTATATATATGTACACTTCAATAATTGTGATACTTGGAAATAAGTAGGTACATTTTTGCTGTACTACGTTGCATTCGGTATTTTTTATTTCCATTATTTCGAAGATAAATCCTTTCATCCAGTCGCATCCAGAAAAACTGGCTGACGATCACTAGAAAATAACTTATTGAGCAAATATGTGTATATATATATATTCGTTCGGTGCCTTTATTAATGTTAGCTTTTTTAGCGAAAATTATAGAGCTAATTTTTAATGCCGAAATAAGTTTATGCCTTCCTCTCTTGTTCTAGATTTAATAGATTTGGAGGGTAATTTGTCATAAGGTAAGTGATGTGAAAGCTTTAGTACTACAGAATAAATAACAACGCATGAGATACATTGTAGATGATTACTTGTATTTGTACACAATACTATATAACAACAAGGAAAATACTGAATGAGAAACAGATGCCTTATTTGGTGTATCACACGGGCGCAAGCCAAAAAAAAAACCATGTCGCAATAGAGCATCTTTCTCTCTCTTTGTTGACTATATAATTTAATACTCGTTACCAGTAAGGAGAAAAAAAACTCTACACAGACTATATTAATGAAACTATATATGTTCTCGGTTTTTCCTCCCGGTCTATTCGAAACTGCTCTCGCATATCGTTTAAACATATACAATTACGAGTTACACAAATAAGTGGAATATTACAGACTATTTTTACTTTATACAATACTTGAATTTTACTTGTAATGAGCACATTATACTCTGCGCGTATCAGACACTTGCGTAAATAAGGAGTAAGAACTCGTGGAAGGAGTCGCGCGAGTTTACGATTGATTAAGTAGTAGTAGTAGTACTGGCTCTTCGTCTTGTGCGAATTTCATACGATTTTTCAATTCTTCCTTTGCAATATATAGGTCATAGAAAAATATATGGATTATATATATCGCGAATGTTTTTTTCCCAATAATATTCGTCTGGTACTGTAAAGGCAGTTTAAATTTTTTACTTTCATAGTAATCACTTTCGCATTATCGCGTTCGAACGAATTTTTTATTAAACAATATTCTCTCTTTTTTTGCCACCGCTTTTTTTTAAGAGCATCTTCAAAAATTTTCTTACTTATAAATTTAGAACATACATATCGAATTAATCGAAATATTTATAAGTAAAAACTCTGTCACAAATATACTACGAGAAAGCTATAATATTAAATATACTACATAATTTTATCTCATAACGACGCATCAATATATATATTCGAATATTTTAGACCAAGTAACGAAATAAAATGAGACACTGCAATAACATCGATAAGAAAAATTACGTTTTTACATTGTCATAAAATAGAAGCTCCCGTCCAATTTCCAAATGTTTCGCAATCATACAGACTTCAGTACGCAAATATAGAAACGGCGGAAAACGGAAATAAATTTTTACACCTTCCGTAATATATTGAAGAACCTTGAGACCCCCCCAACAAACGCTACTCAAATCCTGAAAACAACATAAACTACGTAATAGTATATGGAAGATTATCCGTAAAGTCTCATGTCGTATGCGTTTCAACTTAATTGATATTAATACTAACGAAAATGCCTACGAAAGCTAAAGGTCCTACATATCTGGAACACAATGTATCTATTAGTAGTGAGCAACATTTTGATCAAGTAAATGAATTAAATTAATTCAAAATATAGCGGTTTGGCGTCGCGTGCGACTGCGACGAGGGTAAACAAAGTACCTAAAATCAACGCTTTGGTGCATAAATATACATCCACCCGTTAGCAATTGCGTTTTTTTCCAGAATAAAATGACATTTCTCTATTCTCATATTTCCTCCTCTGCATAAATCCATAAATAGCCGCCTACGCAATATATAACTCTAGAATAAATATCTATCACAAAGGCTGGTCTAATATATGTGGCTTTTAGAGCTTATAGCAATATCCTCGCGCGCGTCGCAATGGCTACGTTCGGGAAATACTTGTACAATTAATCGATAAATGTTACTCGAATACACGCTATGTGGTCAGTGAATGCATGTTTCAGCGAATTTAACAATGTAATTGATGTAAACGGCTTTGTAATACGCTTAGCAAGTGAACTAAGCGGAGCTTGCTCAAACATTTACATATATTTTAGATATGGATTATATATATTGTAATTCAAAGAATTATAATTCTGAATAGAGTAAACATAACAGTATCGAGAAAGATACCGGAAAAAAATACAAGAATAAAATAAAATAGAAAACAGGGAAATAATAATAAAATCTACGACAGATTTTCATTCTCGTCTGGATACCGCGTGTGTCCAAAAATTATCCGAAAGATAGAGATGTGCGAGCATTTCTCAGAGACGCCGAATGAGCGACGCGCGCTGTAATAATACTAGTTTTATAATAGGGGATTTTAGTCTAGCTATTTACACATCGTTCCTATATCGACTTAACGAGAGTCGCGTCAATAATAAATACGATGACGATGACGGTATAAGTGTTTCGCTATCGTTTCTTATGTTGTACTTGTGCCGTGACTCGCTGATCCATTCTTACGGCAATAACGAATACCCCGTTGTACATTGGACTGTCGCGCGGATCAACGTTCACTGTAGGTCACTTTTTTAGACAGTGGGACTCGGTAATTCCCTGCTCCTCATAATACTACGGCTCGTACACGACTTGCAGAATATTTATATCCTGATTTGAAGATAAGTCGCGATCACGAATACTCACACTGCGGAAATACCACACGCGTTAACTCCGCTTACTCACGCGTCGGCTCGCGTGTTTTTCTTTCAGACCGCGCTATCGGCATTCTCACTCACATGTCGCTCGTGGTTCGTGTAACGCAAGAGAGGATCGTTGACGTTTATTGTTCCCATTTCTTCCTCGTTATTGGCAGAGCTTGTCACGACCTCTTCTGATGGACATAAAAAATATAACGTTATTCGTGACGATAACATTAAAACATGTTGAGACAAATTGCGGTTTAAGAGCGGAAGTATTGAATTTTTATAGACTTTTACGATGTAAAATTTATTTTACCGGGTAAGCATAATTGTAGCTGATCGTTGCTGGGATTCGTGCTGTCTCCGGTCCCACTGTCCTTGCTGTGCTGCGAACTCGTGTCCAGGTACAGCTGCGTTTGTACCTCCGGTACGGTCAGTATAACGGTCGTTGTTGGTTGCGCGACGGTGTCTTGCGTGACATTTAACTGGCGTCTGGTTTTATAAATTACGAGCACCCAAACCACGGAAGTAATAACAGCGCAACACACCACGGTTATTATTATCAAGCCCAGTATCTCGGATTCGTTCACCGTGGAAATCGGGGCTAGATATCAGATGAAAAAATAAATACAATGTTAGACGAGGAGAAAACTTTCGTTAAGATCCTTCGATCGATATTATGAACAATTAGAATTACCCGGCTTGACCGTAAGATGCGACGCGCCGACGACGCTGCCTAGGGAATTACTCATCTCGCACTCGTAACTACCCTCGTCACTGGCAATCGTGTTGACGATGATCAAAAGTTGATCCCCCGCGGTAAAGAAATGACGTTCCGTTGCTTGCAGCGGACTACCGTTCTTTCGCCATAATAATTTTGGACGTGGAGAGCCGCTGGCCATGCATTCGAGCACGATCGAGCCGCCCACCGTTATTTCTTTGTTCTCCATCGGTTTTACGAAGGACGGTGTTTCTAAAAAGGAAACGCATTACAAATATATCTGAGAATAATCTATATATTTAAAACTTTCAATAAATATGATACATTATGTTACATTATGGCACATTATTATTACCTAGTATGGTGAGGGTAGCGTTTGCGACGATAAGACCGGCCAGATTCTGCGCGGTGCACGAGTAAACTCCGCTATCGGCCATTTTCACGTTTATTATGAACAATACATCGTCTGTCGGCATCATATGCATTCGTCTTTCCCTCGCAGCTGGGAAATCGTTCCCACCATCCTTCTGCCAGGCTATCTGTGGGGATGGTTGTCCCTCGGCAGAGCACTCCAGACGTGCAGTGCTTCCAGCATTCACTCGTATATCATGCGGAATTTTGGAGAACGATGGGTAAACTATATAAAAGAACGCGCGAAAACTATTACTTAATCTATTAAAATGTATATAAAATCTTGATTGTATAACACGCAATATTTATTTTTTTAAAAAGATTTAGATTAATTTTTAGATAATATACAACGCTATTTTTTCCTAAAGTTTAAAGGATTAGAATCTTTAATGATCATAATTAAAATCTTTGTCTCAAAGATGAATTGTTTAATTAATGATATATATATACACATTTCGGCAGTATAATTAGGATTAATGTATATATTTAATTTACCTAATACGCTTAGTCTGGCTTTGGCTGAGTATGTTGTTCCATAAGTGTTCGTTACCATGCACTGATATTTTCCTGCGTTAGCATGGGTAACATTAGTAAGGTACAAGACGGATGTTGCCTCGGTTACTCCACTCTCGGAGGAACTGAGATTGGTCTGCAGGTTTGTGTCGTCCAACTCCACATTGTCATGCTTCCAGGTAAAATGGAGCGGTGTGTCGGCGGTGCTGGTCGCACGACAACCCAGTTTCACATTGTCTCCTTTGATGCTCATTTTGCTCACAGGTTCTTGAATAATCCGTGGTTTTGGATACTCATCTGTGAGTGAATATTACAAAGAAAATATTTTATTAAGAACGCAAAATATAGAAAATAATAATTGAGAAATACAGATTGTTCGAATTTATTACTTAAACATATAAAATCTCTGGTTTGGTGCAGTAATACTAACCGCAAGTAAAGTTTGCATGATGTAATTGAGTCAACGACATGCCCTGCAACCAATGCGGATAGCCGCAGTGTAGTTCAGCTTCGCTGTAAGAATGTTCTCGCAACCACATGCTTAGCCATTGAAGTCCACAGTCGCAAACCAAAGCTCCTACGTGTAAATAAAAAAAAAAAAGATAATTAACAGAAGGTAATAAAAATACAATTAGGTTACAAATGTACCTATATTTATTATATAATGTAAAACTTGAAACTTACCGGTGTTCATCTTAAGTTTGCTTAGACTAGACATTGAAAGGAACGCATTTTCTTGAATGGACGTAACATTGTTTCCGATTAAATCAAGCTCGACAACGCCACTCAGACCAGTGAAAGCGTTTTGATTTATCGATTTTATTCTATTGTGCGCTAAGCCCAATTTCCACAACTGACCGAGCGGAGAAAATGCGCCGCTAATATCTTCTACCATATAGGATATCTTGTTCGAATTAAGTTCCCTTTAAAACAAAGCAGCATTTGTAACGCAGTAATACGTAACAATGATTAAGTAACATTTGTATTAAACATACAAGATACGAAGGTTTGTCGTAAAATTGAACGCTCCATCTGAGACGTATGCGATTTGATTATGATCCAGCTTAAGCTTCTCGAGCTTCGTGAGATATTCGAACGCACCCCGGTCTATAGAGGTCAATTCATTATGTGACAGGTCTCTGAAATAAAAATAAAAATTTATAATCATACGAAACGTTTATGTAATATTTGCAACACATGATAAATTATCTCATGTAATTATAAAAATATTATATACTAACAGCTCCACTATCTCTCTGCATATATCCCATGCTTGAGGTTCGATCGTTGAGATCCGATTGTGTGACAGAGTCAGCTTTTGCAAATGTTCTAAACCGAACAAACCTCCCTTCTTTATAGTAGTCAACATATTAAAGTCGAGCTGTAGAAGCTCTAAATTTTTAAGTGGCCAGAAAGCTCCATCGTCTAATGTATCAATTCTGTTTCTCTTTAGATATAATTCCTTTAAGCTCTTCAAACTTTTCAAACTTAATCCATGTATCTGTTGTAGATTATTTCTATTCACCTCCCTATAATATTATCACGCGCGTTTTAGATAATATACATTAAAGAGATTGCTTTCTTAATGTAATATTTCATATGTATAAATACTATGAGTACGTTAACTAAATACGTTAAAGATACATATAAATGCTTACAATATTCGCAATTTTCCCAGATTCATGAAGAGATCTTTCATCTGTGTCAAATTGTTTTTGTTTAAACGGAGTTCCTCCAATGAAGTAAGATTATCCAAACTTCCATTTTCGATGATTCTTATGTGATTTGCATTTAAATTCCTTAAAAAAATTTAAGAATGTTAGACAATGAAATTAACACGTAATGTAATAAATTTGAAAGATAAGACTAAAATACACACAAATGTGTAAGTCGATTAGGAGCGAGGAAGGAACCCCTTCGAAGGACACTTATTTTGTTCCCACTGAGATCCAGGTATTGAAGCTGTTGTAAACTAAACAATGCAGTCCCATTTATACTAGTAATTAAGTTGTGGGATCTGTAAAAAAATTTCAATGTCGATAATTATTGATCGATCGCACAAATATTTTCTTAGCAATTTAACAGCGAGTTACTTTCTATCGAATTATATATCGACAAATTTTTTCTAGTTTATATATGCCGAGTACTTACAGCGTAAGATGCGTAATATTCTTAACAAATACAAGTTCTGGCACTTGTGTCAAGTGATTTTTATTCACTTTAAGTTCGCGTAATTGTGCAACGTCTGACAAGGCAATGGTAAAATTATCCCCGAGTTTATTAGCACTTACATCTCTGAAATTGTGAACAAATATGCATATAAACATTCTTGTCTTTAAATAGTTTTAAGCGTTAAGATATGGCTGTTACAATTCTTACAATTTTTTTAGTTTTGTTAAATGAAGCAACGAATCAAATTCCAAGTTAGCAATATTGTTGTCCTTCAATTCTCTGAAAAATACAAAATATAATATATAAATATATTTCGTAATACATGTAAATGTAAACATATCTTACGAAAAATATATATATTTGGTTTCAGATTTCACATAAGACAATATATCTGAATATTAGAACGACTTATATCTCATATAAGATTTATATAACAATATTAATTAACACATTAATGTCCACTTTAAATAAACTTAAACCATTTCAAGTTTAACATGCAGTAATACCAATAAATACAACACGATTACTGACAAATGCAATACGAATACAGATGTATAAGAATTATTTTGCAAGTCTGTACAGAGAATAATTCTGCTCAAGACTCTCTCCTCTTATTTAGCTGCACATGTGCAGAAAACAGGAATGTGGCAGGTAACTATACATCTTTAATACCTTAAATAGCATAGACATGAATCTTCTCTACTTAGATCTTGCTATCCTTGACTCTGAGCATTCGAGGACTTAACAATCAGTCATCATCACACTCAGCACCCTATATGGCTACAGAAAACCTGGCCGTGTGTCTGTAGAGCCAGTTTCATCAATCTGACCATTTAGTGGAGCGAAGGGACAAGCGACCCACATGCAGCCCATAACAAGCAATATCAACTCCCCCTCAATTTCACTTCCAAACAATATAGTGTAATAACAGTTATCATCCAATAAATTATAAATTGCTGCACAATAGCTACTGCTCGTGAACTTTTAGTTTGAGACACAAACAAGCAAATTATTAATCGCCACCTTAATACAACCTACGTTTTGTTATTAAATTACATTTTTTTTTGTTAGAGATTGTTGCAAACCGCGATAAGTATAAAAATTACATTTATACTTGGTGCCTCTTTTAACATTGCTTCAACAAATGACTATTTAGTTAGTATCGTTAGGTAACAAATTACAAATGAGACGAAAAAAAACAGAATTTTTCAAACAACAAATTATCGTTTAAAATAAATATTGTTTCCCCGTCCTTCGAGACTATCTTGAAAGTGCAAAAATAAATTATAAAAATCTCTGATAGTCAATCATAAAATATATATATCGGTGATTATTCTATTTTTGTTATAGATTCTTCTTCTATCTTATCAGCGTCAACTCATGTTACACAAGCCAGGTCTTATAATCCCTCTGCAAGATCATTCTTAACTCCTTTTCTTTCTGTTTGTTAGTGTTTGTTCTGCACCTTCATCCCGAAACCGACAAATGCAACGCACTCTCTCTCTCTGAGTGTGCGACTCCAAGACGCATCCCCTGCGAAAGCTAAGCTGTGGAACCTGACTTCGCATACACAAAGGCAACATCCCTATCCTAAGCAACACCGTTCAGCCGACGGCAGGCCACGGCGTTTACTCACAGGATCTCGGTCCACGGTGGCAGTCCACTAGGTGCCTCGATCAACTGCAGCTCGCTGCAGGCGACCAGGTTGCCCAAGCAGGAGCACTCGACCGGGCAGCGGTTCGTATCGTCGTCGATCAGCTCGGCGCGGATCGGCGACATGCTCAGCGCGAGCGAACACGCGACCAGCAGAAACGAAGCGGCGGCGCTCCATCCTCGCTCGGGTCGTCGCGCGAGGCGATGATGCTCCACCGAGCACCTCGACATCGCGCACAATACGCACGCACACGCACGCGCACACATACACACACGCCACACGCACACCGCCGCACCGCGTACCAGAGAGTCCGCCGATCGGGCTTAAACGGTCGCGCGACAACGCTCACCGCTGCGTGGCCGCATCGTCGCCGTGGCGTCGTAGGACGAATTCGGCGTGCCTGGCAGCCGGGCGAGTCACCATAATTGACCGCAGCCGAGCGATTTGTCCGCGTCGTTATCGATTCAAAACAAACTCCCCTCGGCTTCACCCTTCAGAAACTCTGCGACCCACACACCATGATGACGCCTACGGGACGACTGCAATTTGTATGCGCCATGATGTAGGAAGACAAGTGTAGCTCTGCGCATAATGGCGGCCGAAGAATATGACAGCCAATCAAATTTTGGTCCGATACATCGCGCTACAGTAATGTGCTCTCTCTTTTTCTTGCGTTATAAATGCGGAAAGAATAGCGCATAATCTCCCCACAGCAATTTTTGTTCTCCTAATTCTTTGTCTGTGTTAAAGATTGTTAATTTTAGCGATAATTTGTAAAAATTGAAACCACAACTTGCTATTTAATTTATCTTGTTTACAATAATTATGCTTAACTTTAATTATAATGTTATAACTCTTGATGTAAATAAAATTTGAAGTATTTTACAGAAGCAATGAAGTATTACTTATTCTACCCTTCTCTTCTTTCCTTTCCTTCCAAAAAATCTTTTGAATCCCATATTAAACATCCATTGTTAATTAAATCAAAAATTGAAAATTCTTTAAGTTGATAAATTAGAAATTAAAAATTCTTTATGTTGATAAATCAGAAATTGGAAATTTTTGATGTTGATAAATCAGAAATTGAAAATTTTTGATGTTGAAAAATCAGAAATTAAAAATTTTTTATGTTGATAATCAGAAATTGAAGATTTTTGATGTTGATAAGTCAAGAATTAAAAATTGAAAATTGAAGATTTTGATAAGTCAGAAATTAAAAATTAATAATTCTTTACGTTGATAAATCAGAAATTGAAGATTTATTCTTATTATTATACGTTATAGCACGAATACCCTTAATTGTAACAAATACGTGCGCAAAATATTTTATAAAAATAAAAATGTTTAATACTAAGTAATGTGTATACACTGTATACAACTTGACACTTGTCTATGTTCTATTCTATGATCGAAGCTTAAGAAGACGTAGAATTGGTGCATGCGGAGCAAGCGTACTGTGAAACAGGTTTTATATTGGTTAACCTCGAGCTCGAGCTGTTTCCTCTTATTGTGCAATTTGATCTCATCCATGTCAAAGTGTAAACTGTAAAGTAACCGGTACCGGTTCCATACGTTGAATACTACGTCGATCGACGAACCAAGGGAATCGAGGAGGTGAAACGTTTCGAGCGCAGCTTGTCTCCGCATTAATTTCCAAATAATTACGTGCACGATATACGCTTATATACATATCCTGCCTGGTAATATCCGAAATTCTCGGGAGACGCACGATCGACATGGAGGAGAAGCTGCTGCAGATGCTCCAAGATGTTGGGTGAGTCGGAGCATGAAGGATTTATCTGAGGAAGAGAGAATTTTTGGGGTTTAGTTACTTAATAACACATTTGTTTATTACAACAATGAACTCTTATTTCTTACATCGAGATCTCTTGCTGAAAGAGTGCACTTTTAATAATCTTACAGGTACACAGGGCCGATGCTCGACTCTAACAAGCTGTCGGACGCCTTGAAATATGGAGCAAAATCTCCGGATTTTACTGGTCTCGTAAGCTGGTTCGCGGAGCAACTGGCGACATTTGTGGACACAGATGAGACTGTTCATGCCACAACAAGCGCGGACGATGCCAGTTCCTTCCTCTTAGAGTTAAGCTTCTTTCTTAAGGAAATAGGATGCGTGAATGAGAAACTGATGACTGGACATATGAATCAAAGGCTAGCTAATGAGTCTGAAAGAGCTATCCTAATAGAATTTTTAGCGGCGGAGCTTATGGCTTGCAAATTATTGGCAGTGAAATGTCCCGAAGAGGAGAAACAAATGGAAGTGATCATTGTAAGTGCTTTTCAAATGGAGTAATCTTAATCGCGATAACTGAATCTTATTGAAGGAAATTCTATTAAAGTGATGTATTACTATTCTATATTCACACAGGATGAAAGTGACACCGCAAGGAACTTGAAGAATATGCTAGTCGTATTAAAGTTTCAAAAGCCGCCGGACAATATTTCGCCTGAATTATTGTTTTCAAGACTGGAAACTAAATTATCGGAAGTTCTAAAGACTGTACCACCTCAACATCTCGATAAACCGCTTATAGATGTCGAGCTCTCGGCTAAACAATGGGAGCAACTAGGTAAACTGCAGGAAGAAATGCATAAGGAATACGCAACTCGCCGTGAGATGTTGCTCAAACGTCTTGACGTTACCGTTCAATCATTTCTGGTGAGAACAAATGCTTTGAAAACACTTCTTTATACATATAGGCTGATATATTTGACGGTTGCATCATTTAAAATTGTGCGACTTCACTTCTAGTGGTCGGATAGGATAAAGAAACAGGAGACTGAAGTAAATAGTAAATACGAGGAGAGAAGAAAGACTCTGAAAAGCGAGCCGAAAGTGACAATGGCCGATTTACTAGCGGCTAGAGACGATCTAGCGGTGATCGAGAAGACGAGTAACGCGAGCGTTCGCAAGAATACACGAAGCAAAATCAACAGTGTCATTATCGGGGCGGTACCGGACAGAGGTGGTAGACCGTACGAACAAGAGCCACCTCCACCAGAGATGCCTTCATGGCAGAAGGATAGAGTTCCAGGACCGCAGTCATTCCAGTAAGTGCTGATCTACAACCTTGCCTTAAAGGGTATTTAAGTTCTAAACCATAAGAAATTAACCACAATCACAGTCGAATATTCTCTTCACATTGTGATTGGTCAATTTCTTACGGCTTAGAGCTTAAATTTTTTTTAAAGCAAGGTTGTAGACCAGCACTAAGTTAATAAAATAATATTTTAAAATATTAAATATTGAATATTAATATAAAATGTTACTGACTGGATAATCAAGAGATAATGAAATAATAAAGTATATGTGCACGCGTAGATATATGTATGTATTTAGTATTATATTTCTTTTTTTTTTATTAGGGGCGGAAGAGGAGGAGGTGGAGGCGGACGCGGGGGTAGCAGAGGCGGCAGAGGCGGAGGTGGAGGCGGTGGTGGCAGAGGCGGAGGCGGAGGTGGAGGCGGTGGCGGCAGTGGTGGATATCGAGATCATAAAGACGCCAGTAGTAATTTTGGTCAGAACTTGGATTATCAGCAATCTCAATATTCTGGACATGGACATAGAGAATGTTATCCGGATCATAGAGGCACGGGAGGGTATCAAAGAGGAGGCGGTGGCGGTGGCGGCGGCGGCGGCGGTGGCAGCAGCGGTGGTGGAGGTTATCGCGGCGATTCCGGCGCGAACTACAGTCAGAACTACAATCAGAATTACAATCAGAATTATAATCAAAGTTACGGTCAGAATTATCAACAGCCACAGTATTCCGGCCAGAGGGATTCGTATGGAGGTGACAATCGGAGCGGCGGAAACTACCGTCAGGACAGGAGGGAAAGCGGAGGAAGGGGAGGCAGAGTTCAAGGTGGATGGAATCAGGGTGCCAATAATCCCGGTGCGAATAGCTATCAACGCGGCGGCTACAACAGGGGCAGACAGTACTGAATACGCCACTTAGCGCATATTTTTAATGATAGTAAAAATTTCTCACGGGGAGAGAATGTTATGATATTGAAATAATTATGGTGATTGTATTCGCCATTAGTCCTGGTCTACAATTACTACAATAAGTGCTTTAAGCCCTAAGCCGTAAGAAATTTATCAATCGCAGTAGAATGTGAGGAGAATACTCGACTGTGATTGGTCAATTTCTTACTGCTTAGAGCTTTTTAGCTTAAATACCCTTAGTCCCCACCTACAATAGGTGCTTTAAGCTCTAGTTTTTGTTTAAGAGAGAAATTACATAGGTTCTAAGCCTCAAGCTCTAAGCTTTTAAAGATGGGAGTTGGTCAACTCACTTCGGGCTTAGAGCAGCGCGAGGAACGCTCAAGGCCGGAAATACATCACAGTTTAGAGTATAAAGCATAAAGCTTATAGGGCTTAAAACACCTATTGTAGATGGGCACTTAAAGCAAGGTTGTAGACCAGCACTTACTTACGCTTATGCTGTACTCACATGTAACTTTTTGGTCTCAAAATATCTGAGTTCTGAATATTTATGATAAATGATATTGAATAATTGTGTCGTTTTTAGATCACAAGCTAGCTAACAATTCGAAGTTACGAGGGTCGGCGCGAAAGTAATGCCTCCTCTAATTTTTTTCTTTCGAATCTGGAGCCACAGAAAGTGTTTGCATTTCACTGACAATGAGCTTTGGCCCTCGTATAACGTTGCATTAAGATAGAATTATTATTTATCTCTTTCGTAACGACAGCTTTCAAGCTCATCGTTATTCGATTTATGTATATATAACTGTTTTCCTATACAAATTGAATGTAATGAAGATAACTTGTAAATACATGTTCGTCCATCGGAAATAGCGGATTGAAATTATAATTTATAACGCGAGGCATGAAGAGACTAAATTAGCCACTTAAATTTTGTATTAAATCGCGCATTATATACGTATCAAAAAATATATATCATGAGCAATATTGTGTGCCTGCAAGTGTAATATAAAATCCTAGAAAAACTTCCGTCTCCCTCCCTCCCTCCCCCTCTGAGAAAACTGCGAACAATTTTAATATTCCTTTTGATATCTTTATTTTGCGAGAAAATTTATATTAAGTTGAGTGAAAAGTAACGTATTGCATCCTCATATTTGAAAATTAACGCGCTCGGAGCCTGGTAATTTTTAAAAATCCTACCTACGAAATCTGGTAACTTTTAAAAGTATGAAAAGGACATTCTTTACGATGGCGCCGGTATGCTATTATTGGTTAGTTTATTGTGTATACATATACAAGTCGTAAACTCGTAAAGATTCATCGAAACTTTTCGCACAATTATCAATACCTTGCGCCGTATCAAATTAACATGGTCACTCGATTGCACATTAACGATCTGGTTGACCGAGACGATACAGAGTTACATTTCATGCCGTGTAAAATTCACGGGGACGAAACTGCGAATGTTTCCTCTTATTTCAAGCCTTACATTCGTAGGATAGACGAAGGATGTGAGTGAGATAAATCTTTTCGGTATCGTATATTTTACTACAGACGATGTTGAGAGCGCATAAATTTGTAAAACTATCCATAAGAAATAAAATTTCATACATTTTTTTCATGTTTTCATACATTCTGTTACATGTTTTTCACATATACGTTCTGTGTTTAACTTATAACTTACCTGATACGTCAAGTAAATGTAGTAATTGAAGTGACAAGCGAATCAAGAGGTAAGAGAGAATTAATTGCAACATTAATTTGCCATTCGACTGTTCAAAGACTACGATTGCTCCTTCCGTGGCTACCCGCTTCAAGGGAGAAAGGTAGATGTACCTGCTGGATACAGAGGCATGATGTTTACGGAGGCTAAAACGGCGGATACCGAGAACAGGGAGAGGAATTTGTATTGCACGGGAACCTTTTCGCAGTTTACGTATTGGAATTATGATAGAATACCGTCTAAGAATGACGCTCTTGCCGCTGCATTAGATTGGGTCGACGTAGCTAAAGCGGTAAGTTTTCTTTACATAAGCTTGTAACGTGTCGGTTATCGTCAACGAATTGTTCTAATAAGTTTTTTTCCAATGATTTTTAGTTACATTCATCAGAAGCATAGGTGATATCGGAGGGAAAAAAAACTATATTCAACAGGATACGATAAAAGAACATGTTCTCCGTTGGACACTACAGTTTTATACTTTGAGAAGAGATATAACGAAGACGCGTTTTGTACAACAGATTTATTTTTACAGCATCATAATTGGATGGTTAAGCCACAAATAATGTACGATCTATGATAAGAATCTATGATTAAGTTGTGTAAAGAGAGAGCATTATTATAATCTACTTAGCAGTGACATTCAAAGAAACGGAGCTTCCTATGTGAGATATCTGTGGACTTCATTGTATTTCTCTGTTTAATTATAAATGCGTTCAGCAGATTCTTCTCCCCGGGGCATAAATCTGTTTTACGTAGGATTATATGTTTTTATACGACTTTATATTTAATTTTATATTAAATGCATTTATATAGTGCCGTCGATAGAGCTTGTGACATCTATAATAAATTAAGGAAGGATGTGTCTGAGCATCCGTACATGCTATCTTAGTTATACAAATGTGAGATTTACAAAATACATTTCCCGGTACGCGGTATGTGCATTGATTTTAATTATTTAGGCCAAAGGATCCGATCGATTTGCGACAGCGCGTGTATTCTCTGCACGATGCTTATACAGAATTGACGTCTAAATATACGCTACGATGGAAAACATTTTCATTTCTGCGTAGAATCGGTGATAATGGATGAAAGTGTGCGTACGAAGTACATTTGTTTACAAATATCTCGCGTTAATAGATATATACGAAATAAATAAATTATTACAGTCTCAATCTGAATTATCTTTGGCGTTATACAATATAACAATACTGAGGTATATGAGATTTCTACAGTTGAAAAAAATCTTGAACGTTTGCATACATATGGAATTATACAAAAATTCTTACGTTCGTTTCCTATATTCTAAAATTATTAAAGCCTCGATAACGAAACAATAAATATAATAAAATACTTCTGATTTTCCCCGACGTTTACTATAGAGATATCTCGCTAGTAAAATAAATTCTCATAGGTTCTAGAGGACCTATTTACAGTAACATTACAGACTTCTAAGGAACTACGCTAGAAAATAGGTCCGCCGCACGTCACTTCGTTTCATTCATGCAAAAGCTCTCTAACGTTTATACTCGTAAAGTTGAGGAAGTATATGTTCGTCCTATAGACGGACGCGTTAGTCTTGTTGCCGTTGTCCATATATTTAAGCTAAACATATTTTAATCTCTTCTTGCGCGTAAATCGAACGGGTGAGTACCTGCCTGTTCGATTTGAGGCCCAGCGAAACGAAGCCTCAGGCGAACTAAGGAAGGTTCCCACCCAAGTGGCGGATACAGGCAGATTCGCGATCGCTGCCCATTTTCTTAACGATTTAATCTCTTTAAGTTAGACATATATATATGATCACATTAGCTTATAATATATTATTCCTGACGAAGATTATGTTCTAAGGTTTTAATATTACGCGTGTGTTGCTATATGAGATTTATAGATATCCATGAAATTATACGGAATTAATGGATACTTAAATAATTCACGATTTCCCTCGCTATTGTGTAATACTTGCACAACACCGTATCTTCTCCTCATTTTTTTTTGTACCCTGATCTTATACGTGCATTTTCATATACATGAGACGATTGAATTACCTAGAATGTGAGATATGTCCCGTTTGAATGTAAGTTTTTCGAAGCTGGATCTAAAGACACGCGGAAACTAACGTTTGTGTGGCAGTGGTTGTGACTGTAATTCGAGTCTCAAAAAACATCAGCTTGTATAAAGATGCAAGACACCGCAACAGGCAGTATGTAAGCGAGATACGTATTAATTTTTTTGCTATTGTCCGGGCTCCTTGTCGTCTGTATCGTTTTCATCCAATTCGGTAGAATATCAAAAAAACTATTATATAAGTGCCACTCGTGTATAATATAAAGAAGACAAAGTCGACAGTCTTACTGTAAGTAAAAACCTATAAAAAATCTCAAGTAAAACGTCAAATAACGCATGCGAACTGATGTTCACCGCCGATAAAAAATGCCTTCGCTAAATTTGTACATCCATAAGAATGTCAAATCAAGCTTTATACCATTTATACATGTTGAAACGTTCCTAACTCATTGGCCTGCTCCTGGTGAAACTTGTTCTGATCCTGCTGCTGCTTGATGAAAGCGCTGAGCCTGTTCAGTAAGAATTGCTTGTCATGGCCCTCCAATACCAATTGGTTCTTCAATACCGTCACCATGTGCTTGTTCGCCAGCCACATCACGTAATAGTAATAGAGAAGCAGAGAGAGAACGACGAATGCCGGTATGCCGAAGGCGGCCGTACCCAGAAAGGACAGAATCGACTGCAACCAATTGGGCAATTCCGAGAACGCCATGATCAATAACGCCCACACGGACTCCAATCCCCGGAACGGCCCACACGATTTCGACGGCATGATCTCCGCGATTGAGTAGCCGACCGGTATCATCGCCAGGATGAAGGAGATCAGCAGATTGAACATGAACAGGCAGTTCGACCGGCTGGCACGGTAAATCTTATTCGACGGCGTGCTATTCACCAGACAAGTGATTTTCTTTATGTAAAATAACAGGAACGTCCCGATGACGGCGGCCAAGGGTAATAGCGGGGCGAAGAAGCAGCCGAGCCAGCAGACCGTCTGCGAGTATAAGATATCCAGCACGTGCTTGGGCAAGTCGAACTCCTGCTCGCCGACGAAGCGCAGAACCTTGTTCTCGGTGTGACGCGCGATCAACGACCGTGGAAAATTGATGAAGACCGTCATGAATAATTGGATGAAAATGTCGGTGGTGTAAAGCTTGAAGAACTGCTGTCCGACGAACGTTTCCCAGCACAGTGGCTGCTCGTTCGCTTTGTTGGCGCATTCGTCGTCCGGAATTTTGCCCGCGACGAGTTTGTGCAGGGACGTTAACAGAACGGCCAGGGAGGCGAATCTGAAAAACATGGTTCTGTACAGCGTCACTTTAACGACGTACGACGGACTGTAATGTTCCAGGGCGACCAGATAGCGGAAGAGGAACGGCACCGCTACGTTAAGCCCAACGATACATATATATGGAAGGAATTCGAAGAACAGACTGAATATCTCGCAGTCTTTCACCGAGTGCGCCGACAGCTGAGTGAACGAGAAGTCGATCACGTAGTAAACGAACACGCCGCATCCGCTCAATACCGTTAAAATTACTAGATTGACCAACAGACGCATGAAGAGCAACTTCGCTTCCTCCTCCGGCGTACGGTTTCGCCGCTCCTCCTCCAGCCTCTCCGACTCGAGAAACCCTTTCATCTCGTTGTACATTGCCTTGTGCTTTATCGAGGCAGATCTTTTATTGTTGATGCAGTAATCCCAGCCGCCGAATATCAAATTGCAGTATCGATAAAACTGGCCCTCGCCCTCCACGACTCTCTCCCTGAACCCTTTGGCGGCCGACCGTACGATCGCCACCAAGCTAACGATGAAGACGCTGATGATGGCGTAGATGTAGGCCAGCGGCGAATTGTAGCAGAACGTGGCATCCATGCTTTCGTAGATCATGTGCGTGTACGAGCCGTAAAACAGCGGACTGAACTCCAATATACCGCCGTCCTGCACGATCATGGTTATACTGCTACTCTCATCGGTCTTGTTTCTATACAACTCGGAGCAGCAAGCCACGCTGCCGGCCTCACTAAACGTGCACTTTCCGTTTCCCGGTACCTCCAGCACTATCGCCGGCAGTACTATCAGCAAGAATATAATCGCGAACAAAAGCAGATTCAGATACAGCAACCACTTGATAAATAAAAAGTACGCTACTATGCCCATCCCGAAGTTTCCGCCGATCTTCTTCAGACTGTCGTTCCACAGCTCCATCTTGGAGTAGGCCTCTTTCATCCTGATGCGGAATTGCTGCCAGGCTTTTCTGCGCTGCCACTTGAGCTGCTCGAAGCCCTGAAGTCTTAGTTTTGTAGCGCTCTGAAAGATACACGGGGAGGAATCATTACAAGATCATACATATTAATTTATCTCTAAAGTGTGCACTTTCCAAAATACCTGCAACTGGTTCTTCAGTTGTATTTTCTGAGACATGCACACGGGCATAGCCTTGATCTGCATAATTTCCTCCCACGTGCGCTCCTCGTTGGATAAGTTTTCCGACAGATCGGGCAGCATCGATACAGCCGCGTCGTGTATATTGGTCGACATACGCCTCGAGGTTGTAGTGCCGCGGGATCTGGTGCTCGTACGCCTCCTCAACGTGGTCTTCGTGTCGTTACGAATTCGTTTCGCCGTGGCTGCGTCAAACACATGCGTAAGACACAGAGAAACGCGTTTGCGGCTTGCCTTTTTGTCAAGATCAAATAAACCTACCGACGCGAGACTTCTTGCTGGGAAGCAAGGTCGCTATGTGCGAGGGATCCCTCTGCAGCGCCTGTTGCAGATCGGCCTCCACGGCCGCTGGATAACTCTCCTGATAGAATTCGGCGCCGGCCTCCTCCCATCCATGCCCTCGGTCGCATCCCCTTTTCTTCCTCTCTCCGCTCGACATTTTTTCAGGATAGGATTTCAAATGGGTTCAAATGTTCAAAACAGGTCAGTTATAGCGCAAAGATCACGATCTCAAACGTCTAATCTTTCGCGCAAATGATTCGCATGGCTTGACACATGATTTCAGCAATTAGTTCATCTGCCCTCCAATCCAGAGTCTCTCGTTGAGTTTTCACATGTGTTTCGGAAACAGCTGGACAATATTGCACATCTGACGATAACAGTAGCGCCGATAACTGTGGAAGACATTGAATTGTTAACGTAATGGACCATTCCCAGGAAGATAAAATAATATTAGAATGTACATATATATAACACATATATACATACGCATCCAAAATGAGCAGGTCAGACGAGACGTATCTCGTTGACGCGGGATTTCCGCCGATCGATACTGACAGCAGCCCGAACAACACGTTATTTCCAACTGTATCGTGACCTAGCTGCTTATCAGTCGCGCACTGTTTTTCGACGCCGCGAAATATACGTGAATGTCGCGCGTCGTCGTCAAGGCCTCGCGAAGCCAACCCAACTGATCAACGTGGCCGACGACACCGCGTCCGACGTTTCGGCTCTGCCAAAACCGCGACGGGCGAGAGCGGTTCGCGAAGGTTCATCGGCACAGGCCCGCACATCGGCATCCTGCTGTTTGTCTCATACGTCAAACCCAGCAGCCGGAGTCTGCCGGAGCAGACGGCTAATAATAACGAACAGTCGCCGAGAGGATCGCCGAACTCACGAGGGTCTCTAGATGGCGTCTCGGGATTTGGACGCCCTCAAAAAAAGGGATGGAATAAAAATTGCGTGGATGACGCCTCTTTCTGGAGATCCTCTATTCTGGACTCCCTTATTTTAAAACAGCTAGCTCCCCTAAACTAAATTTCTTCTTTTGAATTGTTCTCGCAATTGCTCTCAATACAAATTCACCGCATGACCATGACAGTCAGAAAGCGAAAGAAACTAAGTCTAAAAGACAGATGCTTTTTTAAAAATATCCTTGAAAGTTTAGACAAAAGACGTGTTTAAAACTTTTGGAAAAATTATCGAGAAGTTATCTTTTATAAGATACTTTCTTGACAAATAGCATTAATTATCGACTGTAATATTTTTTACATATATGGCGTGGTCGATTGTCGATTTATCAATATGCTCTTTTGAAATCCCGAATTCTCGAAATTCTTAGTCGAAGTCCCTTATAGAACTTTAATACTGTAAGTGATTTTTTGGCTAGTAATTAATCACTTAAAAACACTATTAAAAGCACTGTTAATAGTGCTTGTAAATGATTAATCACTAGCCAAAAAATCACTTACAGTATTAAATTTCTATAAGGAGTGTAAAAAATTCTTAAAAATCTTAAAAAATTCTTGGAAATTTAGATACTGTACAATCTCCTTGTCGATTATATTCTCTCTAACTAATTCACAAATTCTAAATTCTAAACTTCGTAAAATTCTCAGAATTCCAAACAATTCAACCTTCTCGCCGATTCTCTTTGCCTTGGGATTCTGCTAGTATTTATGCGCGCAATAAAAATAAGGCGACAAGGTTTTCTCGTTTCATGGATGTTCGTTTAATCTATTCGTCATAACAACAATACATATAATCCGAAAATATACTCTTTGACAAAAAGCATGTGGTATATATTGTGCGTTAGAAAACGGTAGCTCTACCATAAAAATATATGTATCTATATGAACTTGTCGTCCTGATGGAGAGACGACGGAACAATTGGTTCAACCGGACGGTACCCGGTGCCAATTTAAAAAAAGATTTATATATCTATATATAGCGCGCGCATATATCGCCGTTTGATTTGCTTTCTCTTTCTATAGCGTGACTGCAATTATACTTCCGTGCGAAAAGCAGACGCTTGCGTAGACGATAGCGAACAGCACATCTCCGGCTTATCGATCAGTTCTACAGTATCTTTCAATGTTATCGACTTACTATATGTAATTAGACTAGTTTGCACACTTGAGATTCCTTATTCGTATATTTCATAACGTATTTCGCTCAGATAAGATCAATAAACAAACAGATCGTTGGTAAAAAAAAATCTGACACAGATCATACATGAAACACAAATCGCTAAACTTATCTTTTTAAATCATCAAGATTTTTAGGAAATTTTTAGAGATTCCGTTCAACCTCCCCTTTTTGCGCAACGATTATTATTCTATACAATACAATTGTGAAATTATTATTTAAAATTCAAAGCTTCGTTGTCTTCTTCCTCGCAGAACTGCCGATAAGTCGGCGACGAATCCCATCGGATTTTTCTCCCTTCCTGGCCGCAGGATCTCTCGGGACGATTATTGCTCGACCAAGATCTCGTACTCGGGGAAGGCGACCTCGGCACCGGCGTAAGGTATGTAACACACGCTGTGGGATGGCTGCACCTTGCCGATGGTCAGGGTACCCTCGTGGTGCACCCGGCCGATGAACAGCGGCTCGCCGTCTTCGGTCTCGCCTCCCGGGATCGCGTTCCGCGGGATGCTGCCGCCGCTTACCGGCACCCACGTGGGTTTGCAGCCGCAGAGAACCTGCGACAGGAAACTGTTTGTAAACTGGGAAAGGTGCGGTCAAGTTGGATCGCCCTTTGTCGATCTGCACTGTTAAATTCGTAGACTCAATCATTTCAATCATTTTTTACCATTCCTATAGGTCGCCACTGCTCCTACTCAATATGTCGTTAATTTAAAAACAATGTTGATCTATAACTAAACCAACGGAGTTAGAGTAATAAATTTCAACACGGTAGTTATAGAAACAACAAAATGTTATTTAACTCGAGATGTTGGTTTAAATTTTCTTTAGTATTTAACAGTGTGATCGGTTCCTTTAAACATCCTCGGAGATGTCTCCACGCGGTCTTCGGCGAGGTTCCCGTTACTCACCTGGTAGTCGGTCTTTCCATGCTCGGCGCCGCCCCAGGCGACGTAGCAGACGGAGTGAGCGGGCTTCACCTTGCCGGGGATGAGAGCACCCTCGTGGTGAGCCCTACCGACGAAGAGAGGTCCGTCGTCGTTTCCACCCTCGACCGCGTCGGGTGGTACCATCCCGCCGGACGCGTCGCACCAGCACACGCTTCCCGCGTCGAGCGCACGGACGTCCAACGGCGCGGACGGCCTCGTGCTGGAATCTACAATTACGTTATGCTTAGAAATACGGAAGGAACGCTCATAATTGTGACATTGAAACACAATGTAAAAAGAGAAAAATATTAAAAAAGTGATATAATAGAAAAATAATAAAGTGCAGCTGTTCCATTCATCCTCATCCAGTCAAGCCACATCCGCATTCTACCAATGTGTTTGCGTGCACAAGTGATCTTTCGTAAAATTCCATGCAGTTAATATTAGAACGCGTGCTCAGAGAGTGGATGAAAGGTGAAGACCAAAACCGAGTGAGACATACAGTTAACAAAAATAACGAAAAAAAAATTGACCGCCTCAAGCTGTATTAACTTTGGGAAAGGTTTCTAAAAGCCAGTAGGTTTCAACACGTGTATGCGTGTGCGTGAGGGCGTAATACCAGATTTACGTTCGCAATCAAGCGTGATAAGACTTAATCGCTCGGCGATCCCGAGAACGCGTCGACGCGACGCCTCGAGTTCATCAGTCTCGCGATCGACTACGACTCGACGGAGACGAGGGGGACGACTGATCTCGGGCGTCGACGACTAATCACTCGGAGTCACCGGGGGACGTTCAGAGAGATCATTTACGTTTCTTTTGACCGGTAGCGACTGCGGGAAGTGCGGGATATTGTTCGAAACGGAGCTTCCAGTTTCCGGTCGCGCCCCAACCGGTGCGCACCCCCACGTAGCTCACGCCGATGGGGTTCGGGTCACGCCATTCCATGAGGACGGTGCCGTTCGGACCGCCCGATCTGACCGTGATGAGGCCCTCGAGCCACGCGATCGAGAACCTCTTGTGATCGCGGTCGCTGAGAAGATTCGGCGTGTCCACGCGCACCTGACGGGCCGCAAAATTGTCCACGTGAGAGCAAAGACGCCTCTTTAACGCTTCCGCGTTTAACGCTTGTAGTTTTAATCTCAACGCGAAATTAGCGAAATCGTTTCGAACCTTATCGGGCTGTTTGCGATCGTATCTAATAGCCGACGCCGTGTTTTCCCACCCGCCGAGCATGATCTCGTACATGGGACTCGATTCGCCTTTCCGGTCGGTCAGCGCGATGTGCCCGTTGCTCTTAGCTTTCACGTCGATCACCACCGAGCCGCTTCGCACGGCGTGAAACTTGTACTGTAGCTTGTTAGGAGTGTTCAAAGGTTTGCGGCCTTGTCGAGCGTAAAAATAAAAGATCAAAAAAACAAATCAAAATAATACGAAGATAAAAATTGGTGCTTATAACAAAAAAAATTACATATAACGTATTCTAACAAAATAATAAAATAATTTCTTTAGATACGCTGCTCTCTGAATCAAAAGAATTTCCATTTGACATGTTATTTTACGTGTTTTTCATTATTTAGTAAATACGAATGATGACGATTGAAATTGATTGACTTTTCAGCAGTCAACAGCTGGAAAGCAGTCAAATGAATAAACCTGAAGAATCGATCGGTGTATGTGTATGCGCGTGAACGGTTGAAAAGAAATCAATCAGTGCCTAACGGTGCCCCTGCGTCATGGTGCCGAACGTGCTGTGCATATCGACTGTGATGGATTAATAAATACGTTGTATTCCTTCTTGGATCTGCCAAACCCACATTAGGGATAATCGAGCATCCGCGAAAGAAGCGTTCTTAATCCAGCGTCGATTACACGTGATGGGGGGGGAGGAATATAACACGTGCTAGGATCAAACGTACTCGGGCAGAAAAGCAGAATCTATATGGGACGCCACGTGCGACTATGTCACGCTCTCGCAGGAATCATCTCTCGTGGATTTCTATTTTTTTTTTGTCGTGCTCAAATACATTACGTACAACCACCGTAACCGCCGCCGCCGCCGCAGCATATGGCTGTGCGAGTGCCGCGATGCCGCAATCCGAAAGGACACCAGAAAGAGAATCATCGGAAAATCAGAAAGTGTCAAGTGATCAATCTCATCTATGGAAATATAGGAAATATAGGTGCTGAATCGATCTACTATAGAGATAGTTTAACTACGAGTTTCTCTTTATCACTTCTACCTTGTGTGACTACGAATGTCTACTGTTATAATCTGTAAAGTAAGACGGGGGATTATACGAAGAAAGGGCTACCGACAGCCACGAAAGGGAAGTTCTGGAAAGAAGTAAACGATGTATATCCTTAAATCGCGAGCGGGAGAAGGAGTTCTGACGCCTACCTTCGATGAGCCATTCGCCGGTGGCACCCCAGCCGGTGCAAACGCCGAAGTGACCGATCCCGAACGGTTCCGGGTCGGCGTAGCTCAGGAAAGGAGCTGTATCGTTTTCCTTGCCCACCGTGAGAATGCCGTTGTCCCACCTGTGATTTTGTAAAGCGAACAAAAGAATGGTATATAAAATCGACGTTTGACACGAGCGGACTTAGCTTAATGACTCTTTATAGTGAATCTGGCAAGCGAGCGGTTGTACCTGATCCAGAAGCCGCGATACTCATCCGCGCTCAGGATGCCGGGCGTTTCCGTCTCCGCCGCTTCCGGCTTGGTTCTATTCTTGCGCACGACGGACTTGCTGTTGCTCCATCCTCCGATGAAGACCTGTGAAGAGGAGCACAAACTTCAATTCAACGCTCCGCTGCATTACGATTTAATTACTACGACGGCGCTTTTGTGCGCCGTCACGGAGCCGAGAGGCTCGTCGTACGAGCCGGACTCCAGATTGGATCTACGGCGCGAAAGGATATCCGCCCTTGCTCAGGCATTCTATGTAACAAAAGTCGCGCCCCGGGAAGGCGCGAAAGGAGATCTCTTACCTCGTACATCGGATCCCCCTCCTGGGGTCCCGTGGTGAGAGCGATGTGGGCATCGTGCGGCGCTTTTATCCGGAACTGGATTTGCCCGGCCGTCACGGGGTAGAAATGGTACTCCAATTTGTCCTCGGTGCTAAGCGCTGGAAAAAAGGAGGATCGCGTGAAATCTCGGGAAGCCAGTCGTAGAATCAGGATAACTCGTCCGGAACGCCGCTTGCCTCAAATTAGCCAGGGTCGGCGATTAATCGTGGCTCGCGAGTTTATTAGTGTTATTACGGATATTTCCGACCGCCGCGTGGGGGGAAAGGCGCCGCGATGCCGAACATCGAGACATTTCGACGCCAGCCCGACCCACGACGGGGTTCTCGTCAAAAGCGGTCAAGAAAGTAGGACGATGCAGGATTCGATCGATATCGCGCGCGCTGACGGTGATAATCACGCACGTGGCTTACGCTACATCTCGCAATATCTTAATGATAGGCCCCGCAAAAGGTCATCCGGGCGGTAATCGCGCGCACGCGAGATAATCCGCGCCGTGCGTTTTTAAAAGGCTCGTAAAAACCGGGGCGTTATCAATCCGTGTCGGCGCCGCAGGGACGAGCCGCTGTCATTTACAATCGTCGGGAGCGAATAAGAAAAATAAAGTACGTTCGCATGGCGCAAACACATTGATCGCGCGGTCAAAAATAGATGTATAATCCGCCAATAATTTCGATACTACACGCGAGGCGTTCTGAATCACCCTCGCCCCGGGTTCGTGATGAGATATCGTCGATCGAGTTTCGCGGCCATAAATCCTCGTCCGGCGCGTTGAGTAAGCGACGCGTACTTTTCTGCCGAGATCCACTCGCCGTAAGAGTTGAATAAACAGTTATTCTTGGTCCAGTGAGATCACGTTTCTATAAGCAATGAAGATTTCTGGAAAGTATTCTGGCAATCGACGAGTCGACTTCTTTCGTGTCCGGAATTCTTCACGGAGAAAATTTTATATTAAATTTTACTATGCTGTCGCACCAACTGCGGACCATCAAAACGCACAAGTTTAAATGCTATAGTCTATAGTTTGCCGCGATTTTAAACCGGTATGCGTAGGAATTACCGAAACCGAGAAGTCTTCGGGTCAAATTAGTACTGCCATTATTATTAGCCTTTTACGTCGCAGTGTTGGCGAATCGACGACGATCGCGCGAGAGAGTCGCGCGACTGCCCATTAATTCCGAGGTCGCGAGGAAATACGCCGGTATATATCCAAGATAGCGGCGGCACTAAAGTTTTCTTATCTATTTTTCATTTGTTTTTCCATATTCCATATTCCCGCTCGCTTCGGAAACTGAATAGCGCGGCCGAGCGACTCGGCCGACGTAACGATTATAAATAGTCGGCGAGTAAGTCGCGGTCAAGCTCGCTGACATCATACGCATCGTAAATGAGGAAGGGATCTCGCAAGCGGCGGCTTGGCATGGGCCTCGCCATCGAGAAATTCGGATCCCCTTTAGGACGGGCGTGTTGCGGCGAATATATGACGAGATACACGCGTCGCCGATATTAAAATCGCCGTCGCGGCGTCGTCGAGCGTATCCAAGTCTAACGGCGCGGCGTCGTGCTGATGTCATTCTTATTTCGATGTCAATTACTTCACATTACGCGACGTCCGCGATCCAGAACGATTGCGCTCCGGTCTTCTGACATATCCAGCCACGATGTCTTATGAAAGAAAAAGGAAGAAATCGATCGCCCGATAAGACGCCGAATAATCTGCTTCTCCTGTGAAAATTTATTAACTAATTATTTTGAAACGTGCGACGGCGGCCTCGACGCCTCGACAATAATCACGCAATTATTCCGCAAATTTTACAGAATTCTCGAGTACAGATAAGAACAGTTTAGGCGTTACAGATTGAACCTGAGAATCGTCCTATCGCTGGGAGGATCTCTCTCGCCGACGACGCGACGTCCCGAGAGCCGCGGCGCGGCGGCTCGAATCGCGTTAATTCAATGCGCGGCAAATTGATTAGCTTCTGTAATGTGGGTCGTGCTTCTCTCCCAATTAACATAACAACGCGAGAATTAGAGTCATTGAGTCAATTCGCATTGCGCAACGGCGAATACCGCGCTCTGGCCGCACTCGCTCGTCTGCAGCGTATCCGAGCGTCGCGCGTGCGAGCGGGGCTCCCATTTGTTTTGCGAGATCCTTTTACAGCGCCCGATCGGCGTGTCTAATGATTCTCCGAGACCCCGAGAGGTCGATTTTCCTTTTTCTCTCAACCGCGACGTTCGGGAACAGAACCGGACGACGCCGGCAGGCGCGTCGGGAAAGAATGGATCTCCTCCGTAACGCCCGAGGGGTTTTGCCACCGGACAACCGTTCGCCGGTTAATCCGGGACGGTAAATCGCGGCCGATAGGCACGACGCACAACGGTATGTAGAACTATTCTACGTTTGCCGTTCGCCGTCGTGCTGCCATTGACCTCGCATGGCAACTGTCGTCGTCGTGCTTTGCTTTGCCAGGCAAGGTGGACCAACACGCGTTCTGCCGCGATCGCTGAAACTCGACTACAACAGGTGCCGTGCCGCTCGCGGTGCCAATCTGCCACCTGCTTCAACGCCGGGGTACGTCCCTCCCGAAATTTTCCCGGCGACGTTACACCGGTCTAAATGAGAGAGCTAGGCTCCTTCTGTAGGACTCGATCGATGAGGGACATGTTTAAACGGTGTGTTTGAACGATGTACGATCACCTTCATAACTCGTGACTGACACCTGACTGAATGGTTTTTTTTTTATTGTTGTCGTAGTATCTATATCGTGACGAATTTTGTTTTTCGAGCGAAACTTGCCCGCAAGCTTGTTTTTCCGTCATGATCTACAATGTGCTCTTTGCTTTCTGTTTTCTGCTCTTAACCTTTTTGCGACTATCTCGTATTTCGCAATTTCGTCGCGTAACGTGGTTTCTTGTCTCTTCTAAAGTTCGTCAATTTTTATTTTGGGCGACAGAGAACAAAAAACATCGCGTTACGCGACGGAATTGCGAAATACGAGATAGTCGCAAGAAGTTAAGAGCAGAAAACAGGAAGCAAAGAACGCATTGTAGATCAGGCTTTACGTAACGAAAAAGCAAAGCGTGTTTTCGCGCGAGTTTCGAGGAACGATCGATGAAGCCGCCTTGAAATTTTCAACGGGCGAGGCTTTGCGATTTCGCGAAGAGGAACTTACACGTTACGTGACGTGAAAGGGACCGGTCGGCGGACAAAGGTTACGTGTGTAATTAAAGCCACGCGATAGGCGGCTTCAATTTCACGGTGAGACGAGTGGGAAAAGTGTCCATTCCCTGGATTTTCAAAACGTTCCCAGAGATCCCGTTTCGATGATATCCGAGGCAAATGTACGAGGCAAGGAAGATGAAAGGATAACGAAGGGAACGAGACATATTCTCCGGCGCGGCGCGGCGTCGCGACCACGAGGAGGTGTCGATTTAAAAACAGACTTAATTGCAGTAAGGAGTAGATTAAATCGAAGAGTCGAATTTGCAAGGGAAGACACAGGGATTCTCGCGCGGCGGTAGAACTCTCTCTGGAAGTCTGGACGATGAAGGAGGCCTCGGAGGCGGGGCGCGCCGAGCATTGCGAAACGCAATCTGGAAGTCGAATTACGCAAGGACGCGGAGGGATCGCATTCTTGTGACGCGATCATGAGCTTTGTGGTCGGGGGACACGGTCGGCGCGGGGAACACATCGCGATCGCTGGTACATTATCCACGACCGTACCTCTCGCATTCTTCGCTGTCCTCGCATTCTTTCCTACTCGCCGCGCGATAACTGCGAAGTTTCCTCACACTAATTCCCTACCTGCGGTAAACCTCGGCGATAAAAAAAACCGTGGAAGTCTTCCGTCGCGGTGACGTAAACATGTTAAAAACTATATAAAGACGACAACGACGTATATACATATGTATATATATGTATACACGTCGTTGTCGCCTAATCGTGCGATTTAACATACGACTGCGAATGCTTTTCGCCTCGACTTCGATTTGCCATCGTTTCCGAGTCCTCCGCCGAACGTTTGAAAACCCGGAAAGAAAATCTTGCCTGGCGCGTGGAACCTTTTTTCGGGACGAATCGATCCTTTGAAATCGCGATTGCCCGGAACGCGGCAGCTGCCGGGACGAGAGAGTTTTATTCGTAACGGGTCTTATACGATTGTCCGTAGAACTTCAAAGAGTCGCTCGAGCGATAGTATTAGAGCGTCGGGGATGCCGGCCGGCTTGTCAAACCGGCACAGCCGCGCCCCAGCTCTATATTTAGAGAGAGAGAGAACCTCTCGAAAAGAAAAATGTGCCGATGGCTTCTCGGAGAGAAGGATACTATTTCCTTCCGCCTGGAAACTTTCCCGCCGATCCGATCGTTGAATGGAAATTGAGGGCGGAGAAAAATCTGTCCGCGTTCCAGACGTACGGCGTCTGCAGGTTGATCGACGAAGGCGCGAAGATCGCGAGATGAAATCTTAGATATTGACACGACATCGACATGCCGAAAAATTCTTTACTCGTTTTTTCGTTCAATGTCAATTCAGCGCTATACAACAAGTTATGCAATGTTATATATATATACGCTTCCGTTCGAGCCTTCGCGATCAAAGTTGCTTTGAAATAATATCGAGACGCAATAATGAATAATGGAATAGACTTCGCGAGCAACTGTCGCGATAAGAACTATATAAAATTTATTACAGAAAGGAAAAGAGAGGGAGAGAGAACATATCGTTCTTATTACACACGTTTGGAGCCTGTTCCAACTATTTAAATGCACGAGAATTATATAATAATAATAACAACTATTATTTAACATAGAATCAAATATAATAGAAATTATATGATGATAATATTAAACAACAATATTAAATATTATATAATTAGATGTAATAATAGTTATAATATATATATATAAGAATTAATAAATATGTAAGAAATATAAATCCGCGCCAAAGGTTTGTAAATGAGATACACTTACAGATTGCCATGTCGCTCTTGAGCTGTTTATGCAAAATCCAAAGAGATGAGGCGAGCAACACCACACGATGCGTACACCACAACGACGGGATTCGTACTGCGCCGCGACGCGCGCGGTATTTTGATGTCTTCACCGATCGACGTGCCGGCCGGCGCATGCGCGATGTCCAGGTGCGTATGCGCGCGCTAATTAACGAGCGGGATGAGTCACGCGGATCAGCTCGATGTAGATCCGCAGATGGAATTTCGTCGACGTCCTCCCCCCCTCCCCCTCTCGCACAGAGAGACCCGATCCGATCCGATTAATCGTTGACGCAAAAAGATAAATTATTGTCATGCAAGTCTAATTGTAATTTGTAAATATCAATTTCGTGACGGCCGGAAAGGAAATGTCGCTGCAGATTAATGATCTCGTATTTCGCCCATCTTCCACGACGGACTCATTTGGACTATGGACGTTTATATTTTATCATGGACAGCGATACGCGTCGCGGTAAAAGTTCATTACGTGCATGATTCATGAGATCGCGATTTAGCTTTCACAGCGGATTGTTTGTTATTATTATTAAGCGCTTATGCATCCGTTACGTGGAACAAACAGCAAGTGGCACGCGGTCATTATCGTTATTAGACGATGATTTCATTTGCACTGCTGACGGTCTTCATATCGAACAGATGAACTGTCCGTTCGTTTGACGGTCTTGTGTATGACGTGGCGAGTTGACGGTGCATAATAAAATAACTATGAAATAATATAAACTTTCATCGAGACGCAAGTTCACTCGATCCCGTTTTAGCGATTGGATCTCCGCGAATAATTCACGCGAGTCGTTCAAAGTGCGTAGATCGAATTATAAAATTCAGCGCAAATATCCTCACGCATTTTACAAAAAAAGTACGGCTTGAAGGAAAAATTGATTACGCGGACGATCGTTATCGCTGGACAGCAAGTGACCGATTACTGGTCGTCGGTTACCAGCGATTGTTACTGAGAATCCACGTGGTTTCCACGTTGATCTTCTGTAGATACACAAGAAACTCAGTAACTCTCACGGTTGAAAATATACGGCGGCTATCGTGGCGAGAATTTCCTTTGCTTCTATAAAGATACCGGTGTCAATTTTCTTTAATTTAAGAAAGCATTTCCGCTTTGGGTCTCCGTACTTTTCTCGTAATTAAAAAAAAAAAACATTTTCCGCGAAACTCACGATATATATTTAAAAGTGTTTTTAACGTTTGCGCTCACCATTGTCGACATTCGCATCTTCATCGATTGCGCAGTGCGTTGATTGCGAAGATCGAAGATGATTTGATTATAACGTATTGAAAATTGCATACAATGTCTATGGAAACCGGTAATCGGCCACATGTTCAAGATTATTACGAGATCCGGGCTGCAGCGAAACAGCATAGGCGCGTATATCGCTGTCGCGGGGCGGCACCTAGTTCGCTTTTATTAACCAGGCTGCTAAACGTGTTTCTTAACAGCCGAGAATTGACATCAATTATCAGCTTTGTATCGACAATTTATTGCAACATTAAAGCCGTGACTCGAAGACGGCAAAAGGAATAGAAAATTGTTAACGACATCCTGAAACGCTAAAGTATAGACATACTAGCCGCTTGTGCATTCCTTAACTCCGCTATAAATTTGGATCTCTCGCGATTTTATATTTTCGTAATTAATTATAAGCCGAAATAACTTGGCCTGCGATCGCCTGGCGAATATTATAAGTCTTAACAGTCGGTAAATTAATATTTAATATCGTTACATGAGAAGGAATTGTGTACATTCGTATCAAAACGTACATGCTCATCTCTTAGACAAAATATTATTCGGAGCCAGTGCGAACGAACGAGCGGCGACAGAACTAAGCGTGTTCGACTACTATGAGTGTGGTAGTCTCAGCGATGCACGTGCATCATCGTCAGATGCACCGACCGGTTCCGAGGGAATGTCTCATAAAAGCGTTGGCGAGGCGACTGCGCGACGAGATCTCGATGTTGAAACCCACGAAGAGACTGATTGTGAGATTTACAACGTTGGATTAGAATAGACGTAAAAAAAAAAAAAAAATAAATGACCGAAAACAATCCGACGCTGGAGAATCTCGAGCTGTTGAACTTTATACAAGCGTGTAAAGCGTGCTACATCGAGAAATGATCCTGCTTTTTTCCTTGATACAATCACTCGTACGCACGGCGATTGCGCCACTTCGTCATCTCGTTGATGCCGCACGAGATGTAATATATATAATCCCGCGTATAGCTCGAGGGCGTTACGGCGTTTCAAGGAATCACACAGGTGAGGTCTCCTCACCTCGGTCGCTCTTCCACGCCTTCTCCCATACACGGGTTTCCTCCTCGTCCTCCGAAACTGGTCCCGACTACGAGCACCAAAGTTGGGTACGGTCGAGCGTTAGCGGTCGCTGGCCTTGTACCCTTTTATACGACGGAACGGAATAGAGGCTCGCTCGAGGCTTTCCAGAGCGAGAACTCATTTTCGGAGTCGAAGGATCGCAATAAGAGTGACAGAAAGCGAGCCGGATATTGCCGTACGAAAGCAAATAGAACGGCACTTTATTTTCTCTTTCTCTCTCTCTCTTTTTCTTTCTTTCTTTCTATCACAGTCGAGACTACGAAATACAAATACATACCATATCTCACGTCACCAACAATAAAATTAGAATATACATGTATATAATATATATAATAGCAAACGAATAAAAATCAAACGATGAGATACCGCCGCGACGAAAGAAGACGTTATCTTACAGCTTACAGAAAGACCGAAGGAACGATTCCTGAGAACATGTATGATAAGGTGTCCAAAGCGACCAGCATAATATATTCGACGCACGTCGCAAACTATAGTATACGATACGTAAAATTTGTGTATGGCATGAAATAAAATCCACGACTATCGTCTATTTTTAAGTGACTGTTGACGCTCAAGAGAGAGTTGCGGTCCACAAATTATTTTATTAATTCAGTTTAATTCTCATAAAAATCATTTTCCTCGCGCATTATGTTGGAGAATTAAAGTTAGAGAAAAACGTCATTAAAAAAAAAAAAAACTTTGCCAAGATAAATTCAGATTATCTGAAAAAATCAAGTCACGTCTCGTTGTTTTATCGGAAATCAGTCGGAACGCCGAGGAGAAAGATTTTTATATCAGCTTTTCAGAAGGCAAAAACTGATCGGCTCCACTTTTTATAAATTTCGTGATTTTAACACACGATTGGTTCACAATCTCACCGATTTTTTCTACTTATCTCATACAGTTGTTTGATTTGATTTATGACAGGCTTATTTTATCTTCGGACATACGTCGCAGCTACCTATCGTACGTATCATCAAAGTCGCTTCCGCGATAAAACGCCGGCATCTCACACTTGTTGCACGGCGCGACAAATCTCGGTTGGGAATATTTTGACAGAACAAACTCACGTAGTCTACGCTAAGCACACGAGGCCTGAATGAAGCCGTACGATGCGCCTCCGGGGGTCTTACCAACCGTCTCGTGCGTCAACAGTGGTACACACGATTTAAATACGATACTATTAACAACTATTCTCTTTTCAGATGCCGCGGTAACGTAACGTACAGCATCCAAGGTAGATCGTTGACCCGCGGCCACTTAAAGACGATGTGAGTCGACGATGCCTCGCGGACGGATCGATCGAGACAGAGTCCTCCTTGCGCGATGCACCACGAGCCGTTGTGTGCACGCAAAGAATTCACGACTCGTTATTAATATCTATCGATCTACCGCGTGTTATGTATAACGTGATACACAAAGAGCATCGCGCCGTGTCGCAATTATCGTTACGTTCCATCTTATCGTCAGATCGCGCGTCTTATATACGCACAGACACGGACCTTCTCGGAATTCCACGCGTACACGTGTAAGCAACGATTTTTAATTAATTAATGAGAAAGCGGTATTCCTCGCGCGCGCGAAGAACGGACGTTCTAACGTTGTTAGTCTACTTTTCACTCGTAATTGCTCTTGATTAAATTGAAACGCACACACTTGTATATATACATATATATATTAGTCACTACTGCAGCGTCCCTGACCGAACACGCTTCCTCCGTCGAAGGTATTTGATAAGATTCGAGATTCAGCCGACAAGCGATTTAAGACGATCGCGCCTGAAAAAAGGACGAGTTGGACGAATAATAAACTAAGCGCGATCATCTCAGGGACATGATACATTCAGACAAATGTCTAAATGTGCGAGTCCATCGATCGTATTCGAGACGGTGCTGAAAGTCGATAATTACCTGTCGTCGTCGCCCTCCACAGAGGAATAAATGTGGTTTTTTTTTCTCAACGCTCTTTTCAAAGTTTTTTTTAATAGTTCAGGTAGCGTACCTACCGTCGAGGAATATCCGGCTGGTCAGAGGTGCCTTGTATTAAAAATCAGCTTCTCGGCAAAAATCAGACGCGCTATGTATAGTTATCTTACGTGAAATTTACCATTTTTGCAGAGTAATGCGATTTTTTGTAAGATCGGCGCTTTGGTTTTGCGTGATGCATGAATTCACATAGTGATTCTTCGATAACGGTGCCAGTTAGATTGGTAAGGCCTACTTATTGTTAGCTTAGTGTGTAACTGCGTTAAATAACAGGGAGTACGCGGCGAGCTCGCAAGTCGCAGCTCACCGTGGCGCGAGCTAAAGCTATCAACTATTCTCGATTCGTCTCCAGGAATTTCCTGCTCGCGGCGGAAGTCTCTCTGCTAACTCGACGGAGTCGACTACAAAGAAAGCAAGGCTGGCGCCTCGCGAAACGCAAGGCGAGTCTTTTCGTTGATTAAATCGGAAGGCACGTTGGACGCTGGCGGTGCGTCCGCGTCGGCGGCTAACATCGGTCGTCGCTTCGGGGTCGACGGTTCGCAAAGAGCGCAGAGAGGATCGGAAGTCATTCCGTCCTCTGTCTCTTTCTGTCTCTCTCGTCTGTTGTCATTTTCCGGGTGGGGGCCGACGATCAGAAACTCCCGCACTCCCGCAACACGCGATTTCCCAGCGGCATCGGTGGACGGAAGTTGTTCATCACCTGCGGAGTGTCAAAGAAGAAGAAAGGTCGGGATTATATAAAAACGAGGGCGTGTCGCGCGGGGTTGCTCCCCCCCGTCGATCCGAAATATTATACATTCCAGCTCGTCGCCGAGACGACGCGGTGGCCGCGCGGTCGTCGACGTCTAAAGGCGTCCTGGACGCCTAAAAATAGCCTGTGACTGGTTCGCGGTATATCGAGCGAAAGAGAAGGAATAAAAAAAAGTGAGAAAACGCCGACTCGTTGCGACGATATGCATCTCTCGCGGCTGGAAAATGGTAATCGCGTCGCGCCGCAGAGGCGTTCGCCGTGTCACGTTGATCGCCAATCGGGACTCATTTATCAAACCGGGGAGGGAAAAGGGATATCGAGGGAAAACGATACGGGGGAATTCTCGGAACCGTTTAGATAAGGGACCAGCGACTCGCAACATGCGGGGGCAGCTGACCGGAGATAAAAAGAAGCAGCGTCGCGGAAACGGAGGTGCGATAATTCTTTCCGCGATACTTTTTTCGCTTACCACTCCGTGGTTCTCGTGGCAAGGGCACTCCTCGCCGCGCGGAAACTTTCGCAGATTGCGGAAGATGTTGAGCTGATGATGGGACACCTCGATGTACTTTTTGAAGAGGATCCAAGTGACGCTCTCGTTGCACGGCGGCGTCGTCAGCGAGCCCAAGTACGTCCAGTATCCGTTGTCGTCTAAACCAGAGGAAGAAATTGCAGTAGTTTCTCGCGCGGAAATAAAAGCGAAAGGAAATTTATTAAACTGACAACTAAAAGCGATAAAGAGACATAAATGCGATTGCTTAAATCAGTATAATAACATGCCATTGATGAGACTATAGTGACGCGTATTATATTACTTGATCGCATATTTTTAAACGATCACGTTTGTAATTGTGATTTTATCGTCCAACGCGATATAGCAGAATTAATGTCAAAATAGCTACGTCGCGTCGGATTTCATTTGGAGATCCAATCATATCTCGAAACCGATGTTCTCGCGATAATGTCTTTTAATGTCTGAATTGTTTCCCTTTTTCTGTCATCCTACCGCACGTCATACGAATCGCGGTTCAGTGATGGAGAAAATTACCTCGTGAATGTAATTTCACGATTTGATTAATGTACTGTCTGTCGGAGAGGTGTATTTCGTGTAAGTGCTGACCCTCCATATTCGTCTTATCTTTCGGTGTTATCGCTGATACCCGAGCGACATTTCTCCGAAATAATATCGATAAGTAACGCTAACGAGGACACACTACGAGGGTCTATAGGTGAACGTCTGAATAAAGGTCTACATAGGAATAGCTGAAATATATCCACACATGCGCAACGCTATATTAGGCATATCGGTTACAAAAGATAAAGAATCAGTGCGCACTAAGCAGGATTAAATTGTGAGGACACTATCGTTAACGTATATGATATTCGTGCAAATAATTCGCTTGCGAAAAATAAAGGAGTGGATACTAAGCGAGATTAAATTACGAGGACATTAAATTGTGATATTTGTACAGATAAACGCATATAAATATGTCATACAGTAAAATGAGGAACTTCCATAAACTAATATAGGGATTTGCATCGCGAAACAGCTGCTCCTCGCGCAAAAATAAATTCGTCTTTTTTACGTCAGGATATGGAAAAAAAACCAGTTACTGACTACGACGTGCAGATCGTCACATCATGCCAATCATTTTATGACATGCGTCCATCCCGACCGTGCGCGTTTGACATGCAAGGCTTCGGAAAATTGGAGGCTGCTGAAAAATAACCGTAGGATAATCGCGTTTCGAGGCGTTTCTTATTTTTTTCCGAGGCATTGCTGAAAAGCGGGAGCCCCACGCTCGAGCGCGTAGACATGCTCTCTTTTTCTCTCTCTCTCTTTCTCTCTCTCATTCTCTCGCACGAACTAGTCCAAGGCGATACGAACGTACGAACCTTGGAAATCCCATTTGTTCTCGTGGCGTGGTATGATTCGGTCGGCCCAGCGCATGCACGGATTCACGCATCTCTGCGTGCCGGCCCGTCCGCCGCGCACTGTGCGTGCACGACGCAAAGCGAGAGCACAAGGTATATGCGGGAGAAATTTCGTTAGTCGATGCGTTAATGCAGAGACACGCGCCAGGCGATTGTTAACGTTAACGAATGGCTTCCGTCATCTCGCAGACGGTTCTATTACTTTGTTGACACCGTTTAATGTTTGGTCTGACTTGGCTGCGAGCCAGGATTGCAAATATATGTATTATATATAATAATATAATAATATAATAAGCACGTCATCAAAGTTAAAGTTTATTTTTCAATTTTACAAGGCCCACTTTAAATTAGCGTCGTTTGTAGGAAAATCTTTGCAGATAAACGTGTCTTGAAGCATTTAAAAACTAAAGATTTAAGCTTTAAAGATTTATGCTTTTTCAAACATCACTCAAACATAATTTTTTTTTGCAAAGATACGTGACTTTGAAATCTTTTTTAGCGCTGATTTTAAGTGGCCTTTTAATTTTGTTGAGTAGTGTATTATATTATATTATATTATAATATTATTATAAGTATTTTATATCATAATATAAAATTATATGTATATATAAATTAATTAAAGATAGATGAGATAAAAGGAATTTTACTTGTCTTATTTTCGGTCTCATCAGCTGTTTCTCGTTCGAATTAATTAATTTACATAGGTCAAAACTATTACAAAGTTACATTACGTTTCGATCAGCTTGCGCAAACAGATTTAAGCTACAATTGAATATGAATATTACAGGAGGAACAACAAGAATGGATCACGGACACTATGCATCGATGAATAGACGGAATGTTTGATCAAAGAGACAATCACCAAATTACCCGGGCGATTATATTCGATCGGGTCGATTGTAACTTACCGGGAAGAAGTTTACCGGGGTCAATAGGTTCCGTAATTTCCACGACCTCGTACTTGTGCGAGACGTACGGTAGCAGTCGGGCGATTTTGTCCATTTCTTCGTGGGTTTTGCCGACCTGCAAGCAAATCGTTTGCTTTCCTTCCTTTCCGATTATAATGACACGCGATTTTACGAGGCCGAGACATAATTAAGCCGCTTTCTCTCAAGCTAACAAGCTATATTCTCAATTAAATCCTCCGATCAATAAAAAGATACCGCATATCCCAGATTTATGTGCGTTCCTGAAATTTAATATCTGTAATTTCATTTAAAAAAAAAATTCGCGACACTGAGTGTGAGTTGATAAAAGGCTCAGGAATTTATCGCGAATTTAATTAGCTCCCCTGTCGAATATCGTTGAACAGCGACCGTAATGATCGGCGAAACAGCGACACGAGGAACAAATAGACGCGATAAAAAACGCTCGACATTGAGCCGTTGATTACGCAATGTCATTTTTAGAATTGTCTGCCGCATTTTGTCGCCGTGTCGCACGTGGCGCATAAATTTCCTTCGATATGTTCGCGCGCTCTAACGCGACTTTGACGTGTCCTAAAGCTGTGCGCGACGTTTACGTAAGAGATAATCACGTTGATGCACCGGCGGGCGCGAGGAAAGCTCGCTTCGCGAGTATTTTCCTGTTCCGCGAGATTTATCGCGTCCGATCTCCGTAACAATGTAATTTCTCCCGCCGCGCCGCGCCGCGCCGACGAGAAGTGTATCATTTGCTCGAATAGAATTTTGCAATTGCGATCGTCGCGTTCTCCATGAGATACCGCGCAGCTGCAACCTAAATATTAGACACAAAGCGCCGTGCAAAGCGGAAGAGGATAATTGCCGTTGCACGCGATCGTGGTTATTCTTCTCGCTATACGAAAACGAATGCGAACGACGAACGCGCCCCGCCGAACGAGAACGCGTGTTTGCGTGTCTCGTTTTCGAGTCCGATACGGCGACACGGCGTAATTATGTCAACGTCTCTCGCCGTTTACATAATCGACCATTCGGCGACGATCGTGGCGGTGACACCTCCGCACCTCCACGGGGATTCTGCTTGTCTGCAGCTTACGTCTTATGTAAAATACCTAACTTGACTATAGATAGATAGATGCATATACTACGGCGAAAATAAGCGAATTAGAATCCCCGAGTGGAAGAGGTGTGGCTTCCGCGGGCTGACGACACGCTTGTATAAACATTTGACGAACCAATATATATTGAGTATTCATAGATGCAAGATATATATCGCTTTTGATAAAGACGAAGAAAGTGAAAAATACGTAGCTTTTACATTTTCAATATACACAGGAAAAAAGAATATTTTTGACTTGAAAATATCTTTAGTTTCAACGTGGAAATCTTGAAATGAGATTACATTGATTGCGTTAAACGAAGGAAACTTGCTTGAACAAAGTCATTTTATAGGTATATGGTTCGAGCAAGAAAAAAAATTGAAACAAAAAACTGAAATTCTTATAAAAAGAATTGTTTCATATGTACGAAACGACGAATAGTTTAATTTGAGTATAAGTTTTGATTTCATACTTTTTTTTCTGTGTAGTGCAAAAAAAATAAATGCAGTTCTAATCGGACTTATTCTAATTGTATAAATTATTTTAATATTCAACAATTAATTGCAACACGCACGTTGATCTGATAAAAACATTTATAACGTTACGAACCTTAAGGAAGACCCCCAGAACGGCCAGACCGTCAGAAGCTTTCGCGGCTTCGGCGAAGGTCTTGTACTTGCTTGTGTTCCAGTGCACAAGATGTAGCTGAAACCAAACGTTGTCGTCCAATGAATCTAAATCGTCGAGCATTAAGTCTAATAGCGGACAATCAGGGTGGAGCGGAACGGCAGGTCGACTGGCAGTTAACGAGTACTTAATCCTTGCAAATGGCCAATTGAGAAATATCAATTTCTGCATTTCTACCGTCGAGAAAGTCCGATGATCTTCAATACTTTTGTCCCGTTTTGATTATAAACCATTAACCATTTAGGATATTCTTCTTGGCCGTGATTCACGTTACTGGATCTCAAAGAAACTTCGTCAGCATCGTCGATAAATGATAATTGCGTTTGACGAGTAGTCGTTAGAGAGATATTATGTAATCAGTGCAGCAACTGGACGCTCTCTCTCTCTCTCTCTCTCTCTCTCTCTCTCTCTCTAAAATTCCGCGGATATCCGTGCATCCGATCGACCCGGTTTCCCAGATACGAGATCGCTACGGGGGGATATCGTGCATACATTCGCCGTGTTAGAGTCTTGCGATGAAGCGAACGTTGCGTCGCGGGGCTTCCCGGAAAAAGCGCGTCCGATGGAAGAGACGGACGTGCGCGGCGTTCGAACGCCGCGAAGTCATTGCGATCGCCAATTGACTCGCTAATGCGCTTCAGACTCAGGTCGTTTAATTATCATCGAGTTTCGGCCGGAAAGTCGCCGGTTAAGCGGCGCGCCTGTTTCCAAGAGAAATCGCGATCTGTCCGGGGAATAGAGTTTCGCGTCTGAATTCACATTCTAGAATAGTATACCAAATCGTCGCGTAATCTCAAACGTGTTTTGCTGCTCGACGATTATTATTACATACATCGTAAGACGAAGAAATTTTTCCATCGCATCGAAGAAGAGTCATCGATATTTTCTCGATCGGCGCCGGCAGGATCAAGCTGAAGTCACCTTTTTGATAGATTAGAGACTCAGTGCTGCGTAGACGATTGCATAATCGAAAGCGATTTAATCGCGAGTCGAGCAAACAAATTTATTTTACGCTTACAAAATAAGCCAGCAAGAGCACCGAAAAAATTCCCCACGATGAGCGCATCCGTCCCGGAATCGCGTCAGAAAATGTGCCCAGGAAATACGCAATTTTCTCCCGCGGTTAATTATCGGCATTCTTTTCGCAGTTCGCGAGCGGGCGTTTTGTTCGCGAATTGTTTTCGCCTTCGAAAATTCCTTCGGTGTCCACAATGCGCGCGTGTGTGGACGCATACATCTCGTTACGCGAGTCGGCTATTATTCGCGCACGCGAGTGGCGGTTTCGACGATAATGTCCATTATCGTTTCCACTCCACGCGCGCGTTTGTAGTTTCTTTCTTTCCTTATTCGCAAACCGATACACGCGGCTTTGCGGACGGACGCGCAGCTGCTAGAGCATAAAAAGACCTTTGACACGTCACACTATTCTATCAATGTGGATATATGCGACGATAATAGCGCATTATTTACGAGATAAATGAAACGTCTGCATAATTATATTATTAATGTTTGTTCGCAATTAGCGTCTCTCTATGCCGCGTTTCGCATACTCCATAAAGTTTTCTATTTTTATCCGCAGAAAAGCCATCTCTCTCTCGCGCGTCATGTTTGCGGACGACTAATAACTAGGACTAAAGCCTCGGTTTGTCTTCGGTAAAACGATCGCGCTAATAAATCGCACATGGCGCGGTTCTTGGACAAGGTCGACGTCGCTCCTCCTCGCGGATGGTCGGCAAACGGAGTGAATCATACTCTCAATGTGTGACTAGATTGTTAACGAGCTACTTTGGCTATCAAGTAGAATAATTGCACTCGCTCGTCGTACTCAAACCGTTGAGTTAAAATATAGTTAGCGGAGCGAGCGAATCCGAGGGCGCGACGTTTAAGGGCGATTACGTTAACGTTTTAAAAAGAATTTATTATATTCATTATATTCTGTTACTAATTATATTCCGTACCTCTCCGGCAAAGGCCTGCCCGTCGACCGTGTGTTCGGATCCTCTGGAATCGCTGCATCCCCAGTGACAGTGGTACTGCTCCAGCTTGTAGACGTCGTCCATCAGCGGTCCGCCGCTCAAAACTGTCGACAAATCGAGATATAATAGAGATTAGATGAGCAGATGCACGGCAACACTACTGCGATAAGATATGCAAATGAATGGGTAAACGTCTAAATTAGGTCCACGTAAACGTAGAAATTCTCGGAGCACGCTTCCACGAGGCGTCACGAACGGACGTAACGGCCGGGCCCGTGGCAGGCCGCTTTTATTACAGGATACGCTTGATTGGCCAAACCGCGCGGACGGGAACTATAACGAGAGAGAATCGTCGCATTTGCACTGCATGCGACGCATTTGCGTCGTGACGTATTTTATTATTTTGTGTTTCGCCTCCACTTTAACCGTGATAAATTGTTGGGGAAAATTTGGCGCGCCAAGTCTTGCGTTTTCACGGAATTTTCCTGTACAAGAGACTCTAAAATTATTTATTATGTACGGCAGGCGCGATGGAAATTTTCACAAGATGTTTGTGCGCTCCGAAAGTTATTTCCAGACCTTTATAAAATTCAATAAAAAAAACTACGTTGCTTCAGGAAGGCCTGCTTTATTTTACTTATCGATCGTTTGTGTGTTCTCGTATTTGTTTCCCCAGCAAATATGCAATTTTGCACAATATTGGCAATTTCCGTATGTTGAATTTCGAAAGAGGCCGCTTATCGTGACGAGTGCCTGAGAAGTGACGCCGCGACTTTATTATCGCGACATTCTATCTATTGTTTTGTGTCACATATCGCCGTACCGAGCGCTCTGCCCCGCTTCGTGCCACATATGAATACACATAATACGCCACGGCACGGTCGTCCTCATTTCGAATACGCCCCGAGCACTCGGTACGAAGGTAAAAGCCCTAAGTGTGGCACGAAGTCGACAGTGAAACCTTCGTAACGATACACACGAGTATGCGCGATCGGGTGCTTCGGCGCGAGAATTCGCTCGCCAGCCCCCTCGGGGCATGTATATATAATCTCGGAAATACATAACACCGTGACAATACAAATCGCATCGCGTTTGTTCCTTACGTAAGGTGTGCATGATGCACGAAATTAATAAAAAGCATTATGTAACTCATTCGTGCGGCGAACGCCTTTATACAACCCGCTGCAAGAAGCCGCGGATTTAACGCGGCTCTAATCGCGTTCGGCACCGCTGCCAACGTTAACATGTTTACACGTTTAAATGTTTACATGTTTTAGTACGTTTAAGACGGAATGCGAGGCCGAGTATCGCTGAACTGAATCGTCTAAAATTATACCCCGGATCACTCCATCGCTGGACGGACGAGCGCGGCGTATTGTACAGCGCCGGGATTTCGCAACTTGCGCCGCACTTTGCAACCGCGACGATCTGCAATTCAAAGTTTCGACCGCAATGGCACGGAAAAAAAGATTAACTACTGTAGCATTTTTAGGGACACCTAATATTTTTTTTTGCAGCGAGAGCTATAATTCAACAGTAGTAGCAAAACCTTTTACTCCAGCTGTCCCTATTTTGCAACTAAATTCGTTAGTAGCTAATCCTTTTTTCCATGCAGCCTCGGATTTCCCCTTCCTGCTTAGAAAAAAGTTTTTCGCTCACGTGTTTATGCAAAGCGTGAATCAACTCGAGATCGTCATCGATCGTCGTTAAATACAATCTATTCTATAGCTCTGAGCGACGTTTTCGTTGTTCGTGCCACGATAACTCGTCGTACAAATTTTTACTCTCGCAGAGAGGAGAAGGGGAAAGGGGGTGTCTGAAACGAGAAAAGAAAAATAATACGAGATTCCGTATCGCAAAGTGCGTCACTCACATGTGCCCTCGGCATCGGTGTCCACCTGCCAGCAGTAACCGGGATTGATCAGCTTCCGGGATGCGGTGGAGGGATATTTCCAACGCAGGGGTTTGCTGCTCAGAGCCTCGTGATCGGACTCCGCCCGCTTGGTCTCGATGTTCACCGGGCTCTGTCTGGAGCCGGCTGCCATGGGGAACTTCGTCACCCACGTGCTGGGTCCTGCAACACATACACATGCAAATTAAAAGAAAAAAAGAGGATAAATTCCAGTTACGTTGAAGCGAAGACAGATAAGGATCAGTATACCGAGAACAATGAATTTCGACAAATTTGTCGCGGTGACAAGAATCAGCGGAAATGAAGCAAACGAGCGATCATCCGAGATTTCTTCGGTTTACAATCAATCTATGAATATAATTTTGCGATAAGAATGGCACGTGTACCGTGACAACAAAGATAGTACCGCGCGCGGTGATACGAGCTCGAGCTCAAGCAAATTGAGAGAGTTCGCATGCCAAACTCCGAGCGCGAAACAAACTCTTTATCACGATGCACGTCACGTGCCGATAATAGATTCAAGTTCGCACTTATCGAAATTCCGGTCTACGTGGACCACTCCTTCAACCATAAAGTTTGTTTCTTTCCCACTTAGTACATACGGACACAAAAAACGCGAATAACGTTTGCAGAAGTAATAACATTCACTTATTATGACTTATTAACGACGCGATAAACGACGTTGGAGATAATCCATGAAGGCCACGTCGGGAACTTGTATGTAATTTATTATAAATGCAAATAAACTAACGAAAATGTTAATTAAAAAATGATGTCCGCGCGGATGTCATGTCGCGCGCCAATTTCGACGACACGCGAAAGCTGATCAAGCGCATTATCCTTAATAATTTCGCATGCTCCTTATCTGTAGACGTGCGTCACGTGCCGACGCATTAATCTTTCTTTATCGGGGCACGTGATCTCAATGTTGTTTGCTTTTTATAATTAGATGTCGAACGCGTCGCATGCGACAGATTGGGAGAGCTAAGAAAAATTAATACCTAAATTAAACAAGCTGATCGATTGATTAAGCGCGAGACTTGCAACGCTTGAATCTTGCGTTTAATTATGAGATCACTATGTAATGTAAGCGTTCGTGCGAATCTCACCTGACAAGTTGCGGTCAATCGATCGCCATCGCTCAGAACATAATTAAATTCGCGGAATTAAATTAATTGCTGCGATTTGCTTCATCATGTTACGTATTATACAATATAAGATCATACACACAGAGTATATTTATGTTTATATTTGAAAGAAAATGGAAAAGATTAACTCTGAGAAATCTAGACGGTATAAAATCCGGAATCCACAGAAAAGATAATATTTAAAAATTGTTAATTATTAAAAATTATTGTCATATAATATGAAATATGTGAGCGAAATATCAGAGTGACCCTGAACGCAAAGCCTCACGGCTGCATTTCATATTTATACGATGTTCGCACAATCGTCCATAAAATTGAAAGCGCGGAGCCGCACAGAGTGAAACGAATTAGTCATTCGCTGAGCGTAAGAGCGTAAGAAGTCCGCTCGCGGCATTGAGATCGGCGTGTCACGTGAATTCCCATTGAAGGATAGCTCCGCGGTAGTAACAAAAGCAGTCGTTTATCCGGCTCGAGCCGAAAAACGTCGCGATAACGGTACGCGAGCTCGCAACGCTTGCCACATAACTGATCAAAATGAAAGTTATCAGCGAATTGCAAACACCGCGAGAACTTTGAATGAAGGAGAGATAAAAATCAAAGATAATTAGACAATTATCTTTCACCATTTATATGCTAGCAATATATGTATCAGCTAGATAGTCTCAATATCTAAATATCCACTCGAGTTACCTGAAGATTATACTTTTGCCTACTTAATTTATTATTCTCGTGAATATTCGACTTTGATCAGTTCGCTTGCTGCTTAAGCACTCTTATGTAACGTCAAGTTTGCTTTGTATTTTATACGATTAACATAAGAGATTCCCATTATCGGGGTCAAGATTACGAAAGATTTCTTTATTCGTCATAACAGGCTTACTCGAGCTTAACCATAATAGTTAATTATCAATGTAAATGACGGAAAATTACAGTGACATCAAAATATTATTGCCGCTGAGAGATTGAGGCTACCGACATGGCTTATACTATCGTCAGTCGACGTGACGATTAGGATCCTTGTCGCAGTGTAGATAATAAGAACGACGCTCGTTTGAAGGTTCGTTCAACCTTGCAACACGATGATTCAACGAATCACAGGAAATATCATAAGGCCGAATGCGGAAAATCGTGAATGCATGGCACTTGGCAAATATTTCTCTCTCTTTCTCTTTCTCTCTTTCGATATTGCAATTCTTTTGTACCAACCAAAGAAACTTAACACACCTTTCGCACAAACACATGTGCGTTTTTCCACCTATGTATTATCAATGTAGTAATCCTGAGTCCATTAGCCGTCTGCATTATCGGAGAGCCCGTTATTACGTTACGTATAAAAAATGGTCATTAAATGACAGTGCCTCGTCGCGTTCTGCCACGTGTCATTCTGCGTCACGATATTTAGATACTTAGATATTTCTGTTGTGAAATCTCTCTTCTCATTACGTTTTATTTATATCCCTAATGCGCGTATAGCATTATATGTTAGATAGCAAAAAAAGAAAATTCCTATTCAATATTCACGAGTCGCGGATCAAAAGGCTAAACGGAGTCGATTTTCCTTTTGAACAGCGACTATTGCTATTCGCGTGAGCAAATATTAATTTTATAATATACGACATACATACTTAATCGTTAGGGAAAAGAGAAGAGATAACCACGCCGTTCGTATTAACGAATGCGATGTGCAAATAAGTCGTCGTACGTAGGCTTCACCTGCACGCGTGCATTATAAGCGCGAATGGCAGCCTAGAATGGCAGTCTGCGTCAGTCGGCGAGCAATTTGCAGGTAAATCGTCGCGAACGAAGACGGTGACCGCGCGACCGTTCGCGGGAGAGGATTTCTCCCGCGATTCTCTCCGATTTTTTATGTGTGTGAACTTTCTTTCTCCGCCGATATTCTCACGCGCGATTTACGTTGCACGCGCACGGTCATGAAATATTATCCTCTTCGCGCCCGCGGAACACAAAACGCGAGAGGCGGTAAATGGACGTGGGACCGTAAATTAAATAAAATCCTCGCAAGATGGCTGTCGGAGAGCTCGCTATAAAAATTCCAGACCGCGCTCGTAGATGTTTTGAGACTTGGCGTTACCCCAAAGGAAAATATAATCTCTTTTTTTTTTTTTAATTTTGATGTAACAATGAGATCACTTTCTATTTTTATCCCGGATGGAACTCGATTGAAATCGCATTCGCCTCAACCGACGACAACCTAAATCGATAGGGAGCATCGCGATAGCGAGTGGCGTACAAGTATATAATGCACGAATCGAAAACCCTTTTGTATAAAGTTTTCATTAATCTTTCAACGTCTTGGTCCTCTCTATTTGCTTTAAAAAGGACTCGGTTTGATTAAAAAAAAAAAAAACCTCGGTTCCGACTTGATTACGATGCGCTTTAACGTGTCAATTTGTAACTCCGAATTGTCACAGCTTGCGCAATCCACTTCGGCCAGTCGCTTGTTAGATCATACGCTATTACATCGCTTGCAATTATCTCATATATATGCTAATTAACAAAGATAGAATATCTGTCTTCTTCATTCACTTACAAGCACGATCAGGACCGACGTTCCGGTACTCGTTAGGCAGGGTGGAATACGCAAGTAAGGGGCTCGCCGTTCGCGATCGCGGGATTCCGTGCCCCGGAACGCCGACCTCGATTACCCCAAAATCCGAATTAATTTGCACGGGGCGTAATTTCATTTTCAAACGCCGTGGCGTGGCGTTCTGAAGATATCTAGAATAGAATTAGAGGAGTCAAGAGTGTATTATTCTACGCGCAAGACGCGTACTGGCAATCGGCCCCGGGCCGATTCGAAATTCTACGATCTACCAGTCGCGAGCCAAGATAAATCCGCTTGAAAAACAATCCCGCTCTCGGCCGCGGCGGGACGGCAGACCGCAATTACGCGAGCGGTGTCGTGGGAACGGCGGATTCTTCCGAAATAATTGATGACGGCCGAATCGCATCGATCAATTTCAAGCGAGCGGAGCCTCTCGCGAGTCGCGGTCGCGCGAGCGCGCGTTTAAACGACTCAATCATCCCTCTCTGCGAGATTTCGCCCTCCCCCCTCGTTTTGGCAACGGGCCGATCCCCGAGGATTCGTATATACGTCGAATTCCCCCGATTCTCGCTCGGCGCGCATACAAATCGGTCGAAAGATAGCGCTGACAAATTGACTCGAGATTAAGGGCGGTTTCGGAGGCATGCACGGCAACCCCGTGCGGCGGAACAAAGTGAAACTGGGTCTGCGACCCCCTCCGGCCTTTCGTGTGCGTGCCCGTCCGTGTGGCCCGCGCGCGTGTTAGGCGCGCCTGTATACACTTCCCCGCGCAGGGAACACAGGTGCATCGGCCTAACGGCACTACGGAAGAAAACTATTGATTTTCATTTACCCCGCGGAGTCGTGCCCCGCGTTCCACGAGGTCTGCGAGGAAAGAAGGCATCCCCTTTCCCCTCCCCCCCCCCGGCCCTGTGGTCGCTTGGCACGGCCCGTTCGCCCTGCATTCGAGCGGGAAGACAATGGCCCCGGGTCAGTGAGCCTGCGGTGCCATCCGGAAACCGAGACGAAAATCGAGCGAACGGGGACAGGGGACGGGGGAGGAGAAACGAAATGAGTTGAGCGACAGGGCTTTCCCTTCCACGAATTTCGATCTGTGTTCCGAGGTTCGCATGCTGACGACCGATGTCTAACATGTGGCCGCATTTTGACGCTACGGAGACGCGTTAATTAATACTGACAAACGAACGGCTTAAGGATCTCTAAAATATATATATTGTTGGATTAAATCGATAGTTAATAAAAATCATTGGAGCTAAAGAGCATTTGTGGAAAACCAGTCGAGATATCTTCGAGAGTTGTTGCGTGAAAGCGTTTCGCAGCGAAAGATTTTTAATGAGATATTATTATTTGAAGAATTAAGGTTGCGGGATCGATAATTCCGCTAAAGAAAAACAAGCCGTTATTCCAGAAGCGGAGTTTTTTTTTAGATTCCAATTTGAAAAGGAAAAACACGTCTTTCTCCTTTCCTTTTTAAGGAAAGTGATTTACACGTGCTGTCCGTCTTCTCCATTGTCTCTTATATTTCATAAAGTTTGAGAAAAGCATGCGGCCTTGCAACGAAATGAAAAAGTCGACGGGTCCATTGTCCAACTTTTTAGCGTTGGATGCGTTGACGGAGGAAGAGAAAGAAGAAAATCGGAGTAATTTGACCGTCGCGAAGGAAAGGAGAACATTTTTGCGTAATTTAACCGGAATGTCCTAAAGAAACTTCAATCAATCATCCTCATATTTTTGTTCGAAACGCACTTTCTACCGTTGCTTTTTTTTTCAGGTAGTGACTACTTCCTAGGAAAAAAAATATTCCGTTTTACAATGAAATCGCGCTTCGTGCCTCTTTCGCAATGGGATTCAATTAACTGCCGCGATAGGAATTATCGCGAACGCGTTTCGTTCGCCGTTGGTTAATCTGGAAACGAGATACCAGGCTTGCGGCTGCCAGCCAGCACTGATTGTAACGTTAAGCACAGAAATACCCCGGTTAGATATGTATATTGAATGCACGACGATTGACTAAGTGGCCAATCAATAATATCGATGCGCGCTTATCAGAGAAGTAATGTACGTACGAGGAAGACGGCCCGCGCGCGATTTACAGGAAAATCATCGATTTTACAATTACACGCAATTACACAATCGCGGGTATTAATTATCTTGAGAGTTACAATTTTCACCGAGACCCTTCTATCCGTTTTCCTCGCAATTTCTACTTTTACACATCCGTCCTGCTCAAGCGTGGTATTCATTTGCGATCCAAATTCGCGTGTAATTTGCGCGAGTCATTCCGGACACGCGCGACTCAAGTTTACGCGTAGCTTCGGGGGGAGCGCTTAAAACATTAACGAGCAATAATAAGGGAAAGTAGGCTTTGAAAGGTCAAACGCGGTTAGTTGTGCGTGAATTAACGCTCTGTGTGACATTAAATACAAATTATAAGTTGTAAACGTTTTGAGCCACCTTCAGCAACGCGGTGATAGATAAATTTAATAATTTCAAGTTTTTTGACGAACATAAGGTGAGTATTTAACAATTAAATGTATAAATACAGCGTAATTAAAAAAAAAAAATACCAGAAAAATTCTGCAAATATTCGTAGTCTCCAAAATATTCAAATTAGAAAGATTATAAAATCTATGATTTTTAAAAGGAAATACTAGAAAAATTCTGCAAACATTCATAGTCTCTAAAAAATGTTTCGACCAGCTAAGAAAAAAAAATTATAAAATCTATGCCTGAAATATTTCTATTTTTTTTTGTCCTTACCATTTCGGAAGTAGTCCCACTCGTCCTTCGAGCTCATCCTCGCGTCCAGTTCGGCCCGGGGATTCACGGGGAGTTGAGATCCGCGAAACTGAGGTCCGAGTAGAATTTGCACCCGCTCGTCTTGTCCGCTCGGGCGTCGACTCGCGTCGATCGGACGTACGAGCACTCGCGTTCCGCGGTCGTCGGCGCGTCTGGGAAGCGACGTCGACGGGATCGTCTCGACGATCGCGTCAGAATCCCGCGACGTTCTCGCGACGAGGGACGAAGGGCCGGCGCGGTTCGCGGCCTCGGCGATTTTGAGATTTCGCGAAACCCGTCTCGGGGGTTTCGCGAGATTTTAAATTCAGAGTGCGCGAGAAGAGTTCCCGGCCGAGGCTCACAGCTGAGCGCGTTTCTTTCCGAGCGGCCCGATACTTTCCCCGTGGCGGCCGCCGAGTCTCTGTCTCGTCTTTCCTTTTTTCCTTCCGCGATCGGGAAAGCGACCGACAGGCTTACGCGTACGACTCCTACGGCGGTAATACCGGCCGGCGCATCGGCACCGCTTTATATCGCGCGCGGTCACGTGACCGCGCGCGAGCGACAGCCGCGCATGCGCCGGTAAATATTTACACGTGCGCGCCCGCCACGCGTGCACACGTGCATGCAGCGGCGCATGCGACGCCGACGGATCGATGATCGATAAATAATAACTGGGATGTCTAATGTCTTATTCATACCGTGTTTTTTTCGCAAGATTCATTTCGCCATCAAATAATAAATAAATCTCTTTTGAATACGTTGGTATACGAGAGATCTCTGTTGTTTTCCTGGGCGTAATTCGATTTCTTGGATGAAGTTTGAAAATCTCCGAGAAAACCTTAAATATTTTAGAATACTTTGGATACTTTAAAATAGAGAGCGGAATTCTTCATTCCGTCACATGCATACGAAACTTCCAAGTTAACGTCGGTTATGACATTGTACTGGTAATTGACTTTACACAATCGCAGCTCTGCTGATGTAACTTTGTGCCATTTTAAGATCTTTATTTAAAATAGTTAGTTGCCGCTGTAATTTTATGTCATTTTGTGAATATATTTATATTTATAAGAAGGCTAGATAACTTTACGATTCGTATTTTATAAATGACTTTATGATTTGTATTTATAATTAGTGCAGCTATCTAACAATAAATTGATTTTAAATTCATAAAAATAAATGTTTAAATGTTAAAAAGTTTTGATCTGAAAATGAAACATATTTGCACGCGGCTCTCAGTTTTGCGAAAGTTAAAAATTACATTAAAATTACTACATTAATTTTACCTTTAATTTTACTCGACACAAATAGGATAAACCTTTACTCTGATTTTGTCACTTTCAGGTAAAAAATTCGTGCCTAACGATAATTTAATAAAATATGTATATGCGGTCTTCGTAATAACAGTTTCTTCGAAGAAATGTATCTTTTCTCTAATTTTTATCGCGGAATCTGATTCGACACGAGAACAAGTGTAACGGCAATTCTTGCCGCTTGTATTTATATTTAATGCTGTTGCAAAGAAGATATGTTTAAGCTAATGGAGTTGTAACAACAAGATTAGATCACTATCGTCTCCGCGAAGAAGCGATGTTTACTTACATTTACTTCCTTCGCGTTTACAAACGATGAGCAATCTAATCGCTCGAGAGGCACACACGACTTCCTTTATCACTCACGGATAACGTCTTTCCGGCAACGTTACGTCACGAAACGTTCTACAAGCGTCATCATTTCGTCTTTATTGCGTAAATAAAGAGAGCTCCCACCTTCAATAAAAATTAATTCCCAGTGGATTCTGTAGTTGAATATCAATACGCTTAACTCGGCTGCTCGAGAGATGTCCTTCTTCGTATGTAAATTAATTTTGTTAGATTTTCTATTGCTTGCTCGCAGACGTGCACCAAGATATCTCGACGACGCTCGACACGGCAGCATTTTATCTTTTCGACTCGATCAATCCTTGAAACGCAGTGAATTGCGACGATTTCCTTCCGGCATGAGAGATCGTCACGAGACTCCAATTTTAGATCTTTCACATAGACATGCAATGGAAAACATGTAATAAAATGAAGGCGACGATCGCATCAATTAAAAGGTGTTTTTGTCAGAAATGCACTTACAATGGTTCCAATTTTTTTGATATTTGAGAAATATATATATATATATATATATATAAATTTAGGACGCGACTTGTGCTCGAAAGATAAGAAAATAAACGGAACGATAATACATTCTACTTACTATTCACCTCTGAACAAACAAGATATATATCAGCTTACTTAATACTGCATGCCGAAAAAATTCATAAAGCTGTCTTAAGCTCTCTTATCGTTCTTCTGTTGTGAGACACAACCTTGCCTAAAACAATCAATGTGAGAGGTGTACTTATTTCCTCGCATGATGCAAGTCAGCGACGTAAACTACTTTGCATGTCAACGCGGAATACCGTGGACGCGTGGGACGAATAGAGAATCGTATCGTGCCGCGGTCTTGAAAATCTTATATAACCATGGGAATTCGAGTTTTCGAGTTACATCACATTTAATGCGCTTCTTTGCAATCTAATCTGCAAGATACCGAGTCGCTTACACGCTTGGCTTCCTCTTAAACTGGCTCAATTTTTACGAAAGCTATAAAGGAGTTATTTTTCAAGCGCTGAATTTAAATTCCATGACTTCAAATGTAAAATGTATTATAAATTTAAATTTGTTGCAATTTCTAACTCAATTTAATCTTTTTTACGCAACAATCGTATATATCGTACGTGATAATAATTATATATACATAAAAAAAAAGGAAATGTCGAGAATTACCCAAAAGGAGATTTAAACCTGATCGAAGGCTATTAATCGAAGATACGTGATTAATCAGCAAGATTAATTTTCGTCGCGTGACTAACTGCTTAACTGATGTAGCTGTGGGAAGTTCGGAGATGACGTCCCTAATCACGACTCACTCTCGAAGAATGAGCGCAAAGACGAGTCACGCAGTACCCTAAAATGGTTTTATTAACTCTTAACTTTACACGTGTTTCTTTGTCAGTATACTAGTCTCAGCGAGATATCTGTATATGTATATTAATTCAATATAATTTGTTTTACCATTTATTATCCGACGAGCCGTACCATTACATGGTCTCGAGATAAATCCATCCCGAAGCGTGGGCTCGGTCCGATATGCCGATATTTTCACGGATTTTGGTTCTTCCGTTTCTTCCCCCTCGAGATATGTCACTTAGCGAGAAACTTAGAAGATAAATATCGATGGTTTCGTTAACCAACGGAGAAACGCGTTCGTACGAAAGATGTTCCGGCCTCGCCATCTCGCGAGTACGCCAACGCAAATATACTTTCTGATGTATAATATAAGAGTTTTCTTTTTCACAGCGAATAAAAATAATCTGAAAATTCCCGTTGGTATACTTTTAAGTGTATATTATGTGTATATAATGTACAATTACGCTATTTCATTTCGAGTGACGCTTTGAAATATCCATCTTCATGCAGAGACTTATCTCTCCTTTTCTTCGAATCAGAGAATTAAATTGCAGACGGTCTGAAGCGTAATTCGAAACGAGACAACATAAATGCGTGTATATGTATATAGCTATGTATACAACATGTTCGTATAAGCGATGCGAGATAGTTTCTTTTTTTTTCCTCTGTAATGGAACTTTTTCACGTCGTGCCCGCGTTAGCCCGATTTTCCACCTCAGAAAGCGGCCGAAAGTCACAGTTTGCCGTACCCCTCCTCTTTCATATACGCGATTATAAAATACTTTCGATCCATTCTCACACAGGCCAGAAAAGAGAGTCGCCGCAAGCGAGCGTATGGCTATTTGTGAAGTTTCATCCCATTCTCCTCGCGGAGAGTTCCCCCTCGCGTTGTCTCTATCTTATAAATATCGTACATGCCTATTTATACACATTACCATCATTTTCACAGTAAACGCAAGTTGCAGCGCTTTAGGGGATACGCAACGACAGAGCGATGATATGGATTAGAAGCGTGATATGGACTTGTGCTTGTTTACCGCAGATCACAAACGGAACGATTCCGTCCGTTTTGTGACGCATCGCAAACTCTTGGTTCGGATCCATCGACACTCTCAAATACCGTACCCTATACGTTACTCCTCCGCCAGCCGCGGCATCGTTACTTTGTGCGGATCTCGCCTGAAACAATAAATAAGACCCCAGCGTGGTCCGTCAGCGAATGCGAATTTTGATTTAAGCGTACGAACAAAGATTGACGTACGCGGACGTTAATTTTAATATCCTCCCCGCGCGCGCGCGCGGATTTGTATTTATTCTTCCAACGAGAATCGCGCACATACATCACAATCGTAAAGATAAATCCCACTTTGCGGCAGCGTTGATTGCGTTGCATTCAAGTCTTAGCGTAAAAATTTAACACAGAAGATCTTTATTCGTACATTATAAAAATAATATAAGAAAACATACTTACACATATTGATTCACGATATGAAAGCAATCGCGTACGGGCGACAATCGCGATCTCTCTTCCTAGTCTCTTCTCATAGAATTCTGCGATAAACAAGACGCGAGCGATATGAAGAAGGGTATACGCGCGAGGAAAGTCCCTGACACGCGACCGCGGCCGATGATCCTTCCCGTGACCCTTCTCGCGAGCGCGAGACTATTTTATGTTTAGTCACATGTGACTAAACATAACGCTTGTGCACAAGCGCACTTCTTCGGGATTATAGAAATAAATCGTGGCCAATTTCGATACATCCGCGCGCGAAGGGAAACGAAGAGTCCCAGCGCGAGTCGCGTATCACGCGGCTTCCTTTGCCATGCACTTAAATCCTCTACGTTATACAAAGACACGAATTAATTAGTCGTAATATTATATCGTGATTTATAGCTTGCACATACGAAACATCCTCGTTATTATCTTACATACGTATTAATCGTCAGCATTCACACCAGTATATAGGCGCGCCTGCGAACTCGTCGCTCCGCACGTCGTCGTCCCGGATGACGGACGGGCGAACGGAGCCCCGGCGAAAATTCGGGACGCATATGAAATTTCTTTCTTTCTTTTTTTTTTACTCGTTTCTCGTATTTCCTTTTCAAAAATATCAGGAAACTATCGAGGTATCGAAGAAACGGCTGCGTACGTATCCGTACCACACCCCGCACTCTTTCGCCGCACCGAATGATGAGAGATAGTGCGTGCACGCATGTGTATGTGTGTGCGTGTGTGTCTCGTGTGCGCGTGTATGCGTCTAGCAACACGGCGGTTAAAAAATTACAAAAATCATTGTAAAAAAATGCGCCCTAAAGAGTGCGAGCCACGCGTTTCTTAGGTTTTCTTTTCCGCGGTTACAAATATACGTTTCTTACCTCTTCCTTCCCTTTTTAAATATTAATTATTTTTTGGCTTGGTAACTATGTAAAAGTCTAAATTAAATAGTCTCGTCGCTGTGCAGTAACGTGCGCATCCATATGTTTTTCTACTTTTATTTTCATCCTGAGTTAAGCCTTTGATGCTAAACTCTCACGTACGCATTCGTGAACCATTCGCGGGTCTGAAATAAAAAATAAAATAAAAAAAAAGTTATTGCGGCTGTTAAGTCGTAAAAATTGCGAAACGTCGGATTGTGCGTGAAACAAACAGTGGGTCTCCTTCGTAGCAAAAAGTAAATGCTAACAACTTGATTGGTCTGGCAGTATTTAAATTACACTGTCCAAATAACTGCAGACTGACGTCTATCGAACGGCAAATAGGTATTAATATACATATTTATATATATATATTTATATTTGTATATATTACCTATCATTAGTTTTTCTTATCTTAGATAAGTTATCTGCATGGCCTACTGTGCCAATGGAAGCATTTGCTGTCACTTTGCAATGGCATTGCATGTATCATAATCGTTCCTTTAAATGTCTCAAAAAACGTTTCAATTCTCTGATATTTTCTCCTTAACTAATAGCGATCGCCAAGCGAACTAGTTTATCCGCTCACGAGAGTAACATTTAAATCCGTTTCATTTATTTCGCCACGAATTATCCTAAATGGAGGGTTTAGAAAAGAACCTGGAATATATAACATTATATATATAACAGATAATATTATATTTAATATAATGTTATATTATATATATTAATGTATAATATTTAATATATATTATATTTGGTATATAATATTATATATCAAATATATTATATATACGTATATATATATTTTAAACTGTCTCGCTTGGCGACACACCATGCATTTGTCGTTCTGGCAGTGTTATACATTATAGGTGCGTAATATATTTCGTTAAGTCCGTCGTTCTTGTTACTTGGAGACTCTCTGTAAACAGTAATTGCGATAAATCCGTAGAACCATATTAATTATACGTACGCGCTGTTATTCACAGTCGGATACCCTTATTGCTTAATAAATGGCACTGATTATTGAAATATTTATGAGTATCGTTGCTGTCTCGAATGCTATAGAGTCGAATAATGTACGTTTATTCCCTACCGCCGTCTCGGTTCTACAACGATCTAAACTAAATTCGCGTATCGAGTTCGGAGCAGTGGATCCTTCCCTACAATTGAATTCTTTACGAAAGGCAACACGTGATTTGTATTCCCATACTTCCTAGAAAATCTTTCCTTTTTCTTTCGCGTGAAATATAGATGATTGAGAAAGAGAGTATACGTCGATCTCGAATATCGACTGAGGAATATTTTTTTTCTTTTTTTTTTTCGTTAAATCGATGGTGAGACGTGCCGTTGCTGATACATATATAAAATAAGTAAAAACGCGCGCGGATTCGGAGAATGTTCTCGCGGAAGAATCTTCCATTCACGCCTCGCAAAGCAGTATATTGTCTCATACCGGGTGAATGGAGAAGGGCCTTCGTTCAAACGTCGCTATAAACGTTCAGAGTCCCACGATCGTCGTCGTCGTCGTCGCCAATTCGAGATTGCTTTTTATAATTAATTTGGTTTTGCTTGTGTATCGGTGAGTCTCCGAGCATTGCTAGCATATATTTACGCGTAGGCGAGTGCACCGTATTTTGTTAGGGAGGCACGTAGGGGGGCGGTTTCCTGTACGTTGGAGTGGGTTTAGGACGATTTTGCCGATTGGTGTCGCGATTCGTGGCGAACGGTGGCGGCGGTTGGTACGGCTCCTCGGAGTTCTCCTTCGCCAGCATCGGCACGTCGGCGCCATCCTCGGCTTTCTGATATTCGGGCGGTGGAAGAGGTGGCTTTTCCTCCTTCAGAATGACGGGTGACTTATTGCCTGAAACCACGCAATGTGTCAGCGAGAGACCGATATATCGCCCGATTAATATATATCCATTAATATACTAATAAATAATCGTTACCGGGATCCGGTTTCTCGTCCAGCTCGTCCTGGAAAATCACGGGAATTCCCTTGCTCCGGAAACTCTGTCGCTCATCATCTTGTTCACTGACGCTCATCTTTCCACTGCGTCGTCGTCTGTGTAGCACGCACGCGATTATTCCCGCCAGGATGAGCATAGCGGCGATAATAATCGCAGGCAGGACGAAGGTGAGAAGGTAATCGTCATGGAACGCTCCGACAGATGTGGAATCATCCACGGGTGGTACATGACTGTCCGGCGAGTGAACGCCCGTTAATTCGCCGAGGCAGATACCCATCGGGATCACCGTGATCTGCTTCACCGGAAACTTCAGACCCATCACGTCTAATACCTCGTCCGTCACGGAACGCCGATCATTATCGCTCTTCACAAGCACGGATCGCAGCCTATTGACCTCCTCGTGAGCGCAATACGTCGTAGGTAGAGTTCTGTTGTACCACGTGATGACGGTACTGCCATTCGAGATGTTGTGCAGCAAGATAGCATTCGTATCTCTGTCCCCGTAGAGATCGCGCAATTTCTCAATAAAATTACGCTTCTGAAGCGCAGAATGCGCGAAGGAATCGTAAGGAATATCCAGCGTCATCGAAAACTCCACCGTGTGTAACATGAAAGGTGCCGGATGAACAACAACGACCAATCCATCTGTGGCGCTTGCACCTACAGAATATAAAATTTTCAATTATTCAATTGTTATAAATACATTTTATCTATCTTAGAAAATAAAATATACATTATTTTACCTTCTTTATCAGTGACAACCAACTGATATTCCTTGCGACCAATATGAGTACTCATTGGCACGCCATAAAATTCCTGATTCTTGCTATCAAACTGCAGCCACTCGTAAGATGGAATAGGTCTTCGATCGATGGTCAAAAGTGACATCTTCATGTTTCGCGACGATCCATCCTCAGCATCAAAGAATGTATCCTGTAAAAATAATACCAGACAATTATTCATATTGTTGGTATCGATAAAAATGAATGAGGAATAAAACACATACTTCTGGCACTTTAAACACGAGCAACTGGCCAACTGTCGCGTTAACAAGATCGACTTGGTTTCTCGGTACTGGCGGGAGATTAACTTTCGGCTCTTCGGTAGAAACTTTCGGTACCTCGGGTCGTTTCATATCCTCACATTGTCCAATTCCTTTGTACACGACACGTTTTACCCTAATTTCTGGAGCAAGAACTGCTTTTAGAGAAGACGACGGATCTCCATCACTGTCGACGAGTACCTAATAATGCATAAACATCATTTTTAAAACCTGTATAATTTATTCTAAAAGGTAGAGATGATATAGTAATTACTTACGCGCAATAATCTGTTTATATGTTCTCTCGGACATTCGCTGCTTCTTGGAAGACTATCGTTAGTCCATGTGAAAATGGCTTGCTCACGATCGGTGTTGATATCAATGGAACGAACCGTGATATGTTGAGTGTCGCTGTCTCCGTAAAGTTCAGCCAAGCTTCGGATCACCTGTAATCACAAAACAATTAGAAATCAATGAGAAACAAAAAAAACAGTCAATACGCACCTTGAGTTCCCAGTCAACATCAGTTGGGAATTCGTTTCGTTTGTCAATTCTCAAGTAAATGTTGAATTCGTGATTGACGCTACGACTCAGCTTGTGTTGTTGAACGTGAATGTCGAGATCGTCGGAGACATTAGCGCCTTCACTATCCACGGCAACCAGTTCGTAATTCCAGGTAGATATATCGTTTTCAAGAGGCCTGTTGAAAAAAAGTTTGTTGAATAAAATGTATCTGCTTTATCCGAGAAATAAATATATGAGAGATCTTGCACGCGAACTTACAATCCATAGACTTCCTGGGTATGATGATTGAACTGGAGCCAGTGAGTTGTTTTGATCGGTACACCTTGCCAGTACAAGCTCAACTTCAGGTGCCTCGTATCGCCATCTTCGACATCCATGAAGGTATTGGCCGGTATAACATAGCTCAACGGTTTGCCGGCAGTCACCGGTATCTTTTTTAATCTTCTGTCGCGTGTCGGTGGGAAGTTGACTTGGCCATATTCGATACTCTCCGTGGTAATCCGAGCTGTCGTCGTTGTTGTGGTGGTTGTAGGTGCCGCGGTAGTAGTCGTAGTCGTAGTAGTAGTCGTGGTCGTGCTGGACGTAGTGGACGGTGTTGTGTTCAACGTCGTTGTGCGAAGATCCGGTGTTGACGGCATCGTCATCGTAGTCGTAGCTGTGTCATTCGTTACAACTACAGGCGTGATAATAGAGGCGCTAACATTCGTTACGACTGCAGGTGAAGGAGTGGTGGTGCCAATGTCCATAGCATTGATAATATTCAATGTTGGTACAATAGTCGGTTCCCTCGTGGAAGTTGTAGTTTGTTCCGGCTGGACGAGAAAAGATCGTACGTCAAAATGCATGGCGAATCATAGTATCGAGAAAAGTGGAATAGTAATTCAATGTGATAAAGAAATTTGCGTAATGACAGTAGAAATTTAAGCCGCTATTAACGCGCCGTTAAGAACGAACGATGATTTTGATCAGGATAACAATTTCCGGGAAGCGACAAATCGGCACGATGTAGCGCACGAGGAAGTTGGTGTGTATAGCGTGAACTATTATACAAATGAGAGAAGCGCTAAAGCACGTAAGCATTACCTCTTCCGTCGTAACATTAGTAATACCAATGACGATCTCCGTTTCGATTTTGTCAGAGATACTAGTCTGGATGGCCGACGTGCTAAAAGGCGGCAGAGTGGTTACGGGAAGAGGGGTCGTGGTGATGTCCGAAGGAATGGTTGGTAAAACAGTAACGGGTTCGGCGGATTCCACGGGTCTCGTTCTCTCCGTCGACGATTCCTCATCCGTGGTCTCCGATCGCGGAGACTCTATCGATGGGGCTACAGCAGTGGAGATACTAGCTGTTGCTGTTATATCGGCTGATGTGACGGTCGTTGTGGTGCTACTAGTAGAAGTTACGGTCGTTGGCGCGGCTTGGGTGGTGGTTGTAGTTGTCGTCGTGGTGGTGGGGGTAGTTGTAGTTGTTGATGGTGATGATGTAGTAAGTTCAGTGGTTCTTGTCTGCGAAATCGTTAGTAGATGCGATGTATGGCACGAAAAACGAGTGGTTAGTTACGTTCAAAGTGACGAAGAAGTTGTACAAGTAGAGAACTAAGTATCAGGCTTTTGTTTGCGGAGACTTTCGCGGCGCAATCTGTACAGCACACTTTAAAACGCACGTCTGCATGGACGGAGTATACAGTTTGTGAAAAGAGGCCAGCGTTAAAATACACAATACCCACTATAGCTCTATTCTAAATTCTTTAAGCAACAATTCCCTTGCAAGCGGTATGGCAAATGGCGAATGAGGAGCGCAGAAATAGGAACTTAACGAAAACCGTTGTAGAATCACGGTATTCCGAATTTAAACGTTGACCAAAGGAAATCAATCGCAGTCGCATTTGATTCCATAAAGCCACTTACCGTAGATGTATTTTTATTATTTTCTAATTCACTTTGACTCATTCTCGGTATTATCTCTTCTTCATCGATGTCTTCGCCCTGAAACGAACAACGTAAATGAAAAATACTCGATCGTTGCGATTATTTCTGCATATCTTATGCGATTTTAGTTAAAAATAGCGCGCTCGTGATTTGACATTATTGCAACTCACCTTCCAATCGATCGTATCCTCGCCGTGATGATGCCGGTGTGGGTGTTTCAAGTCCGGCATGAAAGTCGGCGGTACTCGGGAGTCCTCGTTATCTTCTTCCTCGTCTTCCTCGTCGTAATCGCCATCGTAATCATCATCGTAACCGCCGTAGTCGTCCGAATCGCCGTAGTCGCCGGAGCCGGCTTCCCGTCTGTTTCTCAGGAAGGAGTTCAAATCTGTTCTAACGCGCCACGACATCACAGGAAGCTGCAGAACTTCCGCTAGAGTACCGTCTTTCGCTTGCTCGCGTAACTGTTTCACTAACTCTGTTTGATGCTTCCATAAGTGACCGTCGCAGCCAACCTACGAACGAGCGTAGATATACATCCGACTTTTCTCTTGCTCGACGAGGTTTCAAAAAAAATGAGATATCGCAAAAACTGATAACAAAGAATACGTAAAATGTGGCGATTATGTATCTTTATACCTGCATATATTAAGTAACTGTTAAGAACGATTAATCAGATATTTCGAGTCTCACCTGCCATTGGATGGTAGTCAAATGACTCTCTTTGTTTTTATGATGCCTAACGTTCCCGGGTCCGGTGAAGATGACGGAAGAATCCAGCGCGGTGGCATCCTTAACGCTTTGAGAATGCATCGAGAATGCGCTCTGAGAAACGTTAAAAATAAAAATCATATGATAGATTCTCGTATCTTGAAAGACAGAAGAAATTCAATACAACAGCGAGTTGAATACTCTTTTTATCGGGTTTCTTACAATAAATGCAATAAATACAACTCTCTGGAATATAAATCGTGTCGTTTCGTATAAAGGGACGCAACAGGAATTAAACGATTAATTTCAAATGGCACGATAGAATCAATACCGTGTGCATTCCCAGAAATCCCGCGAGGTTTTCGATGGCATTCACCCTGACGGTAGGCGAGAGTTGATCCATCCGCGCGTCCAGTAGAATTGCAAGGATTGTCTGGTCCTCTCCGTCGTCGCAATGCGTCTGCAATTAGAATCGTGCTATTTCACGCCAGCCGTCAACTTTCCGCCTACCAGCACGCGAAATTTTAGAGATCGGGGTCGCCGACCAAACCGCGGTATGTGTAACTGCGCGAGGCGACGCGTTACGCACGCAGCAACATCAATTGGCGTCAATCAGTTAACGTCCGCGGGAGTAATTTCTTTACGACATTTAAACGCAACGTTGACGATATACGATTGCAACGGGAGACCGTCCCGTTCCGACGGATTTATGTCGACGACCGCTCGGGATTCCACTATAAATTCATCAAACGCAAATTTTATCGCGCGCGACTAAATTACGGGCTGCAAGATATACAGCATCCGGAAGTAGATAGATTTTTTCGCTCTGTTTCGCTCGATACAAAGTTTCTCAAGCGTTATTTTATTTTACTCTATCAGCGTCGCGCGAACGACACAGTCACAACGTTTTTCGCTGACAATTTAGGTCCACTGCGGTCCACTTGATGCTACAAATACTTTGGAGCGTTTTTCTTCTCCTTCTTTCTTTATTGAAAGAAAAGAGAAGAGGAATGCTTCGAAGCATTTGTAGCGTCAAGTGGAGCGCAGCCTTAAACGCACGCGCGGAGCGTTCACCCAAATGCTCATCCCTTTGTTTATGTCTTTTTACTTTTAAGTTCTATTAATCATTGATGAATGGAAGGCACGTACAGCGGGGGGGACCTGTTGTTCGACTTGGATAAGAAACTTGAAACCATGCCAACGGTGTGTTTTCGCAGCTAACGATTCTCTCGCCGGTTCGTTGTTCGCGTTCTCGTTACGCCGAGTTAACGTTTATCGATATAACTCACCTTGCCGTCCTTATGCTTCAGCTCCTCCAGCTTCTCGGCTATAACTTGCACGACGAATTGATCCTTGGCGGTGTCACGGTGCTTGCCGACAGCCGTGACGCTCAGGTGATAATTGCCCATGTCCTTTTTCGACGGCACGCCCAGGAGGGTGGAAGCGGCGTCGTCCCAGTGCATCCATCGCGGGAAACGATCGCGATCCGTAGTCTCGTGAACCTAATGCATTTTTAGAGTATAAATAATCATATTCCTAGCTGCTATTCCTACCGAGTGGATAATTATTCACGCCGTCTTATCGCGCAAACTTTTGAATCGCCTTCGCACAAATGGAACCGAGCGTGTCCCGTTGCCAGAATAATTTCGAGGACAAAAGGGAAGACTAGGGCCATTCAACCTAAGAAGGATTTCCGGCCGTGAGATTTGCCGGTAGAGACGGCGGGGAGCAAATTGAATCGCAAATATGGATTCAACGAGAGACGACGCGCCGGCAGGGGCTCGAGAGGGAAGAAAATGACAGATGTGAGGACAAGCAAATCAATAGCGTTCAAGCAGCGGCGGGGATCGCTGATACTTGACGGCGCTACGAGGTTCGATAAATACGAAAGAAGGACGCTCTCGAGCGGTCTAAATCCGACGCGGCTTTTATCTCCGACGAACACTGGATACGAGTATGGTGTACTTAAAGGAGATTTTTTTCCTACTCCTCATACAAAAGATCTCTCAACAAGACGCTCGCTCGCGCGTAATTCGCTAATAGACACTAGGAAAACGTATATTCGCTTATCAAACGTTAAAAGCGATTTTTTTTGTGTTAGCAGGATTTAAAAGTTTCAAGATAGATGCGAGAATCTTTTTGCGGATGACCACTTTCCGAGATTTAATTCAATTTAAAATTCAAGTAACGTACAACGTACGGATATTTTTCTCATCGGGGACTCGTAGTGCAGAACCGGTAGGTCTTCCGGTCACGTCCCAAGTTCGTGGCCGAAGGAAATAAGTCTCGCCGCCGCGCCGGCCGAACTTACCTCGTAAAAATCTACGCTTCCCGAAAAAGCCTGCCGCGGTATTTTCATCCTGAAGACGTGGCCGACCGGGACGACAGAGTCCGGCACGCCCCATGCCCTTTCGACTCGAGAGGCGTGCCTCCTGCCATCACGAGACGATCCGTGCTCGTAACGATCGGCTCGACCGCGGGACGTATGATGATTTATCAGGACGGTCCCGAGAGGTACGTTGTCGTTGCCGTTATCCTCGCCGACATCGTCGAAGACCAGGTCGTCCTCCTGCAGGCTGAGTCCCAACGTCAGTGGCAGCAGGAGTAGGACGCACGTGAGGATGTGAGGATGCTTCTTCATGTTTCGGGGGAGTTCTCAGTCACTGGTACCATACCATGCTGCTACGCCTGCAACAGGTCAAGCCAACGTTCGTTCAATCCGCGAGTCACGATCGTCGCGATAGTCATCGAACGATGTCAGTGTCGTAGTAATTAATGCATGCGAATGATCTAGATGTAAAATCCCGATTGCTAAAACGGGGACACGCGTTGGTGAAACGAGATCGTCACAAGTTGAGCCCCCGATCCTTAAAATGTCACGAGATCGAACGCTTTCCTTTCTTTTGCTTCAAATTGAAATAAACGGATGATCTTTCGTCACCACGTCGTGTTTGGCATATTAAAAGACGCACATTGAATATTTTATAGTTTACGTAAAATGACTAAATCACATTGTTAAATTCGTAATGTCAAATTATACTCAATTTAAGCCATTTTTAATCATATAGGTCACTCACACTTAATATATGTCATTGATTTAACTAAAACAATATTAACTTAATTAACTAAATCTAGCAATGTCAATTTAATGGAGTTGGTTAAAAATGACACAAATTAAGTGTCATTTGACACTACGATTTTAACAGTGTATAAATTTAATTATTTTACGTATACTAATCAATGGAGTTAATATATAATAATACTGTTTTATGTCAAAATAATAAATCGAGTTAAAAATGTTATTTTACTCAAAATATTGGTGAAAAATTTCATCCTTTAATTTAACAGTGTATTGCGCGTAACATATTGCAATAAAATAATTCGGCAAATATTTTTTTTTTTATTACACACTTTGTCTAAAGAAAAGATAGCGTTCAAAAGATCAATAATGCATAAAATAAAATAAAATACGGCTAAATACGATGCGATCGAACAGAAAGGCGTACCTACTGTATTGATCAGTGAACCCTAACAATCAGACGCCAGCTGATGATTGTGCACGCTCGTTCTCGCTATCGTACATTCGACGCGTCTGTTTAGGCTCGGCCCGACAGACTAATGGAACATTTTCGTTAACCGGGGGAGCGAGCGCATGCATCCATTGCTGTCCAATGATAGCCAATAAACGCCTCGCCATTACCTTTTTATTTTCCTTTATCGTTCGTTTCGTCGAGCCACCGTTTCATTAATCGGCGCGGCCGGACAATGAGGAGCCGACGGTTAAGCCGCTGGATTCTCTCTCCCGCGATCGGTGAACCATCGATAAAACCATAGAGGGATACGGTTTTATCGAAACGCGACTCGTTCCCCTCGCACACGTGTTTCGAGCGCGAACACGATCGATTCGCGCTATTTCGGTAACATCTGCTGAAAATGTTCGGGAAAGTCGGATAATTCGCGATAAATGGAATGGGTGCGGATAATTCTTCGGACGAGAGTCTTCCTTAGTCGACGACCGAGAGCCGCGCGACAAATCGAGCGAATTAATCGAAACGAGGACACTCGCCGTTTACGGAGAACCCTCATCGCCGGGCGCCCGTTTAATCGCGCGCGCGGCATTTATCGCCCGACTTTCGAAGGCTTCGTACTAGCGAGGATTTGATCGTCGCGACGACAAGGAAAATTCCGATTAAATGCCTCCCCGAGGTCGCGGTAGAGATCGAATCGCCCAGAGTCGTATTTTTAGCTGCCGATAATCGAAATCAAACTTTAATACGCGAATGCCGCCGAGAATGCCGAACGAGGAAACCGACCGCGATCGTTTCACGTCGATTTCAAGGAACGGCACACGGTCTGTCGGTCACGTGCGAGAGTTCGAGTCGCGGATTAATCGCGCTGATGAAAACGAGGACAACGCGCGATTCGCTAAAACCATCTTTCTCGGCGCCGGAGCGAAGACGGTCAACGGATCGCGAAGGTTACCACGTGGGTGTATAGACAATTGAGTTCATGCCCACATTTACATGCGTTCACACGGGACGAGATATAGCAGTGAGCTCATTACTTGTCGCTCGCTATACCGCGATCCGACAGCCACCTTTAACAAAACTAGCGGAAGGCCGGCGATGCGCATAAAGATAGCCTTCCATCATTTTATAATAAATCCCTCGAACTGTCGCCGCGGCTGAACTACGGACAAAGAACTTTACGAGCGACGCGAGTGCTCGTTTTTTTCCCCCGCGATATTGTCGACAAGTTATTTATTTAACGAGTCGACTTTCCTCCCTTGGCGTGATACGAATATTGATGTCACTCGGCGTGCTACGATTTTTGCAGGACGACAAACGCGGTCGACGCGCGCCGACTGATCGTAGAGGACGAGCGGCGCGTCTGGTGACAAACGGTTTAAAGGTCCGCGCGCAAAATGAACGCGAAACACGGGGGAGTGACCGTTTATCACAATAGGGATTGCAAAACGATCGCTCTCGTATGCGTTCACCCTCGCGTCGCGAATCCCCGCGTCGGACTTAATATGATTTCACGGTCCGCAATACCGTGCGATGCCGAGAGAACCGACCATTTATCAAAGCTTAACGATCGAATATCGCGACGTCGATTGTTCGATTGTTCGAGTGGCGAATGTTGTTTGATTGTTTGGCGAGCGCGATGTGATTTTCCTCCTCCGGGGTCTCTGGAGGATTCCGGGGATACGCTATTTGGGTAAAATGTGTGTTGAATAATTATACCTAGTACTTATATGTGTATTGTAATCGTGCTGTGTGCGCGTAAAAAATTCACGTCGTTCAATAAAAAAGGATGACGAGTTTGAATAATGAAAGTTTAAATGGATCATTGTTCGACAGACACGTATAACATTTCTTACATTCTGACGACGCATATCCTGCCTTCGACTCCCGCTATAATCGTTCCTTCATTCACGCGCGACAGTTTGTCGCGCGCTCCGAGACCTTGCCTCGAGTCGCGACTGTATGCGGTATGCAGGGCGCGAGTGCGTCGCCGCAGGTGCAACGTGCCGTCGCGTCGTCGCGAGACACGCGTGCGACGAATACAGGAACAGCCAGACCGGCCGATAGACGCCGGGCCGGGGCGCCGAACGGAAGTGCATAAGGAACGTGGAAATCGATAGCCCCGGTAGTCCCCGAGAAACGCGACGTGGCCGCGAGTACGATGTATTCGGCACGTCGCGGCTCATTGAGCGCCGACCTAACACGTGTACCTTTCGATTTGTTCGTAACTGGTTCGCCGCAAATCACCGTGACACGCGCGGCGCGGCGCAAGATATTTTTCGCGGTATTACCACTAACGTAAGAAGGCGTTATTATTATATAGAGCTTTAAGTTCATTCATACAACATCGCCGTTAAGTTCATTGATAATCGTCGACGTACGCATTTTATTTCTTTTCTCGAAAGCCGCTTACGTTACGTAGGTCTTTCGAGTCAGTGACCTTAAACGGATTAATCGATGCTATCCCACGCGAGCGTATCGCCGACGATGCCCTCGGAGACGCGATACGAATTCCGCGTGAACGGGAAGAGGAGCGCCGCGCCGTTCGTCTTCGCGCGAAGATCGAGAGAACGGTGGGAAGTACGAGGAGAAATGTTCCCACCCAAATATAATAACGCTACAATAATATTATTTATCGCGAGCAACTTCGCTCGAATCCCGGCGCCAAGCAAGAATAAACGTAGCCTGCAAGTTGACTTTACGCTGATAGTTATTTCTGAAAGTTTAAACATCGTCGTCAAGTGTCTGTGTACGGAGAATGAAATTTTTAAAAGACGCTGGAGCGTCGTATGGATATCATCCCGTTCCCTTGCGATCTAAATTTAAAGCGACGCCGCGACGCCACCGCGTAGAAGCTCCTTTCTCGCGCCAGATTCTTCCGTATCTTCGGGCGAGTGTAAATCGAAGGAAGAAGAGCTCGAAGAAGAGTCTAAAGGCTATTCTACAATTGCGTAAGAGTAAGAAATTGACCAATCACAGTCGATTATTCTCCTCAAATTCTCACTGTGATTATTGGTCAATTTCTTACTTTTACTCTTACGCAATTGTAGAATAGCCTTAACATAAATGAGGAAAAAATTTAACGAGGAGATAGATCCAACTCCGATAGAATCTCCAAGAATGATGTAAAAAAAAAAAGAATCAACGAGCGCAGTTAACTGCTGTGAACAACGAATAATGGCATGCGAAAGCGCATCGATACGCTCGGGACGAGCTCTAATTATAGATATCGTATCACTCGCGCATTTATACCCGTTAGCAACGCTCCGTTGCGTAACGCAACATCGTTATGCTGCACGTGATTCACGCTCGCGGGCAAGTCAACCGCGGTGGCAGTCGGTCAATAATATCAATCGTCTCTATCGCGCTGAACTTTTCCCCGCTGTTCAAGAATTCCCGGCCGCAAAATGATCATAACTTTGAACCGGCGAGTGTCATGCCTGCCTAACGAGTTTCGGGTGCCTCGGGTGTCGTCGCGATAACCGCTTTTCGTGGCTCGTGTACACAGGGGCCAACGTTTACACAGCCTTTATTCTTCCTGCTGCTGCTGCTGCCGCGGCAGCCTCGAAAATAGAGGCAAAGACGTTACCCTCCTTTGACTCGATGTTGAAAACAACATCCTGTTTTAGCGTTAATCACGTGGCGGGTCCCCTAGCAACAATGTCGCGCAATAAATGACGCGCGGATAACAGCCCGGCGAGAGATATATTTTATCAGGCGGAAATGTACAACTGAAACGCAAATCCATCCATTCGCAAATCGGACGGATTAATTATAAATATTAATAATAATAAATGAACGTCTTTGGAAAAAGGACAACGATGAAAAATGACCGCGCGACGACGACGCAACGCTGATTTCCGCTCTCGCGCTAACTCAGCTCGAATACGCGCGGCCTCGCGACAAATATTTGCGTGCGCAGCGCGAATAAGGCGCGTCGGGGCCTTTATCGCAGCGGCGACGATCTCGGCAAAGGGAAAGTAACGCGACACGTCGCTTACCTACTCGGTCTCTGCGTGTAAACTACCTACGCGCCGAGAAGGATCTTAATTACGCCACGCGGTGTAATTAAGCACTGCGACTGTAGCCGCTGAAGTTCATATACGATGGATCAAATGGGCGAATATATATAATCGTGGATGCTCTCGATCGCGTATTCGA